TATTATTAAAATTTATAAGAAAATTATTAATTTTTTTTAATTATAACTTTAAATTAAAAATATATAAATTATTATATATTAATAAAAATATAAAAAAAATTATAATTAAAATAAAAAATATAATTAAGTTATATAAAAAACTATAAGTATAACTTAAACTTATATATTAATAAATATAAAAATATATTAATAAAATAAAATTTAAAAATTTAATTTTTTTAAAAAAAAATATAATTTATTTTTATAAATATATATAAAAAAGTAAATAAGCTAATATTAAAATTAATTAGTTAAATAATAAGCTAAATTATAAAAAAATAAAATTATATAAAATTATAAAAAAAATTAAAAAAGTTAATTATAAGCTTAATATTTTAAATATTAAAAAAAAAAATAATAAAATTTTATTTAATTTTTCATATTTTATTATTAAAAAAAACCTTAATAAATAAAAATATAAGTAAAGTTATTTATAATAAAATTATAATTAAAAAAAAATATAAAATTAAAAAAATTCTTAAATTTAAATTTAATTAAAATAAGCTATATAAATACTTAATAAAATAAAAAAACTATAATAATAATATAAATAATTAAAAACTTATTAAGTATTTAAAAAACTTTTAAATATTAATAAAAAAGATTTATTAAAATTTAAAAAATTTAATATTATTAAGTTAAAATTAATTACCCTTAGGTTAAAAAACTTAAAAGTAAAAAAGCTATTTAATAAAATAGCTTTTATATTTTATTAATTAATTTTATTATATATATTTAATATTTTTATATTATAATAAAATATTTTATTATTATATTTCTTAATATTTTATTTTAATTAATAAACTTATTAAAGCTAATTTAATATTTTTAATAAATTAGCTTTAGTTTTATACTTTTTTTTATTATATTTAATATATTTTTTTTATAAATATATAATTAAAATATTATAATTAATAAAAATCTTATATTTAAAAAATATAAAAACTTATAAAAAATAACTATTATTTTATTATTATATAATTTATATAATTAAATATACCTTTAATAATAAAAAAAATAATTATTATAATAATATATATTTTTAATACTTATATTTAAATAATAATTATATAATATAATAAAAATACCTATTATTTTATTTTAAAAAATTAACTTTTTTTTTATTTAAATTAATATATTTTTTATTTTTAATAAAATATAATATAATATAAGTTTTATAAATAATATATTTTATTAAAGGTATTTTTATAATTATAAAAAAAAATTAATATAAAAAAAAGAAAATACTTATATAAAAAAATAAGTTATAAGATTTATATATAAAAAAGGGAAAAAGTTATATTATATTAATATATAAAATAAAAAATATTATAATAAGCTTTAAAAATAAAATCTTTAAAAAAAGTATTATATTATAACTTAATAAATATAATAATATATATTATAAATTAAATATAAGCTAATAACTTAATTATATAAAAAGTAATAATAAGTATTATTATTTTTTAATTATTTTATAAAAAAAAAGTAATTAAAAGTAATATTATTTATAATTACTTTTATAAAATAACTTATTATATAATTTAATATAAAATATATTTATTAAATAACTTAAATAATTAATTATTAATAATATAATAATATTAAATATAAGTTATATTTTATTTATTAATTAAGTAATTATATAATATACTTAGTAGAATATTTTATTTTATTTACTAATATAAATATATATATTTATTTCTTAGGAATTTCCTTATTTTATAATAATAACTTAGGATCTAGGTATTTAATTATTATAAATATTTAATTTTATAAAATAAAAATATTTATTATATAATTTATATAAGTTATTATAAAATTATTAAATTTTAAATATATAAATTAAATAAAAATAAAAAAAATTTATAAAATAAATAACTTTAGTTATTTATTTTATTAATTTAAAGTAAATTAATAATAAAAAAATATTATAAGTATTAATTTTTCAATATAATTACTACTAGTTAATAAAATACTAAATAAATAAAGAAAATTTTTTTTATTATAAATAAATAAATAAATAAATAAATAAATAAATAAATAAATAAATAAATAAATAAATAAATAAATAAATAAATAAATAAATAAATAAATAAATAAATAAATAAATAAATAAATAAATAAATAAATAAATAAATAAATAAATAAATAAATAAATAAATAAATAAATAAATAAATAAAGTTTATTTTAAATTATTAATAAAACTATTTATAAAAGTATTATATAAACTTAAATCTAGGTTTATAAAAACCTTTATAATATCTTGAATCTTTCCTAGGCTTTCTATACTACTAGGAAAATATATTTTATTATCAGTTAGGTTTTTACCTTGTTTTATTAGTTCCCCTATTATTTCAGCTCGGTCAGTTATATCCTTAGGTATTCCATTTAATATTGCACACTGGCCTCCTAAACCTGTTGAGCTATACCCAGTAGCTAGGTGGAACAAGTAGGTAACTTTATCCTCTGCGTTAGTAGCATCAATGTTGATCATCACATCCATGTGCATTAACGAGAGTTGGCTATGATCATGTAGATAACCGTTTAAAAACACTTCATAAAAGTGTGTAGCAACCACTAGTTTTGGTATTGCCGTTGCGGGAGAAAGGAAATAGTCCAGCATCGCTGTAAACAATCCAGCACCGCCATCGGCCGCGGTCCTATTTCCGAATTCATCCATAAGAACCAGGCTCCGCGACGTAGAGTATTTCATGGCTTGGAAGACTTGTTTGAGGTCTAGAGCAAATGCACTCCCGACACGGGAAACGCTTTCTTGTGACGGCATCCGAGTCAATATTTTATCCACAGTGCCGATCACAGCTTCTTTGGCTGGCACATAGCTCCCGATGTGCGCCAGGTAAACAATTATGGCAACCTGCTTGATATAGACGCTTTTCCCCGATTGATTAGGACCAGTCAGAACTAGGGCTTGGGTCGCTTGTCCATGGGTCAAACTCTCTTCCCCAATGAAACAGTCATTTCGCACAAACGATGGCACCAGTAGCTCTTGAAGTGGGTGCCACCCACCCTTGATATGAATGACATTGGCGTCCGTCATCTTGGGGGGTTGCCAGTTATATTTTGCAGCGCCGATGGCAAGAGCTAGAAGTGCATCAAATTCTCCACATAAGTCTGCAGCTTCCAAGAGTGCTTTCTCGTGAACAATGACATCTGAAGCCAGCTTTTGCATGACCTCGACTTCCTTATCTGGTTGAATATTAGCAAAGACGTGATTACACGAAGCGTTATGGAACTTACCGCTTATCTTAGAATACATATCCCCGTAATATCTGTCTAGATCTTCCATATGGCGATTTTTATAATAGGTCGTCCCTTTATGAGTGAAAGATTTCTTCCATGAGTTGTCATTTATACTTTCGCCATTAAAAATGTCGTTTTCTAGTTGAGGCTCCTGCCCAACTATGGTTAAAAATCCAAGCTGGGGAAAGAAAACGCATGACTGGATGTATTGACGCGCCCAATCTGGCAAGCCTTTAGCAACACGCTCGACTACTGCTGTCAATAAGCTATTCATGCCGTCGTATTGTCGTTTTAACGCGTCCAATTCGGTATCCACGCCAGGTCTAACTGAACAATACTTCTGGGACTTGGCGTCGTCAAAGTTGATGAATCTGTTGATCATGTCGCCTACCAGAGCTAGAGATACTGGGTCGATTCCGCCGATTATCTAGAGGGCTATTAGAACCGGCGCGCAAGATAAATCAAGATTCTTACCTTATTGATAATATCATTCTGGTCTGCATTGGAAGAGAACGCAATCACCACTTCTCTCAATTCAAGCGATTGAGATACGAATCTTCTTAGCGTACCCTATACACTAATACTGAACGCCTTGTGGGGAGACGGAGAGCTGATTCCCTTATGGAGATGAGCGATTGCATGTGCTACATTTTTCATTTTCCGTAGTATAGCAATAGCACGTTTTGTCGTTTCCTCATTACTGGGATGGAGGAGTAGTGCAATCGTTCGCTGCCTCTGGGAGAGGATGTTAAGATTCGACACTGGTCTAAGGAACATGTGACGCAAGTGAGTCCGACCTTGCGGTGTAGAGACCAGCGGATGGAATAAACCATAAACAGAGAGATTCTCCTTTTCAGCTGAACTTTTGGAATCGACACTCCAAGCGGGTCTATTTGGATGTGATTCGTGGCTGATGATTTGTAGGGAGAGTCTGGACTCTTCACTGACGAAAACATAGTCTGCCAAATTGAATAGCGTAATATATCTCACATCAAACATATATCCCGTGTTGGTATTGCTAGACGGGGATACGAGTGATCGCCGTCGGCGTAGGTATATGAGAATAGCACTTGCGCAGCCCATCTGTTTTTTTATTTGAGCACTCAACTGGGCACTGGATACCAAAAGGCTAGATACTTACGGATGTGACGTTGTCAAGGTCAGTTGAAGAGCTGCAACGGACCAACTTCATGCACTGAGAGTCTTGGCGGTCGCATTCCTGTAGAGCCTGGATACTGCTCTCAGTATAATGCCTCTCCACGTTGGCAGATGATGTATCGAGTGACATTAATTCTTCACAGGCCAATGTGTGTGAGAAGTCAGAGGGAGACACCAGGCGGGAACGAATTTCTAGGTCACGTTAATACGAAGAAATGGGAACGGACTGGCCATACGGGATATGGACTATGCCAAGAAATACTCACCTTTGTCACTCTTTTCAGCATGCTTCTCAATAAAGGCAAAGATTGATTCTGGGACTCGTCGTGAGACCAGAATAGTGGTTGGTTGCGCGTAGCTGAGAAATTGCTCGACCACATCTTCGCCCGCCATAGACATGTCAGTACCTATCTTCAAGGTGCCGTCTGCAGTGGAGAAGAGGCTGCATCCTAGGGTGCTCCGATCTTTGACATCGATGGCTAGGATCGACTCGCTGAAAGGAGGGAGCCCAGTTTCTTGATCAGACGTAGCACCTTCTGTGGCATCCATGTTGGAATACCTTGTTGGCGGCGGTTGTCCTAGAGTTGGAGAGCTGTAGATGCGTAAAGTGGAAAGCTTGGGTGCAGGTTACTAGTGGTGGAAGAAACGAAGTAGGGATAATGGCACCTTCCCCGTTTCGCTTGTCGATATACCAGTTATCAGATAGTACCTAGGCTGTATTGCCCAGATATAAAGCCATTGACATATATTAAATTGATATATATTATAGTATGTAATTAATCAAATTATCGTATTAAACGAAAACAAGCCTTTAATAAGACTTACGTCTATCCATCGCTATCATATGTGGTGCATTTGGCTGAAAATACTGCCGTCATCATTTAAGAGTTGATACTGTCTCGTCTTCTTCCACACGAATCGAGTGCTCTACGCCTAATGCTTGGACGGAGGCAAGCGCATTCGCTGGTGCGATTACGGCAAACCCACTATGGTAAAGTCAACGGCAAATTCAAACTCCGCGAACCAAGGAGACGTACTTGATGATAGTGTATGTATGTGTGATTTTACCTCCAGCTTTCAAGATACTGTCCTTCACCTGGTCCATGAAAGAGGCTGGAGTAGCTGGGTTATCGAACCAAATGATGGCTGACTTCTTCTGATCAACAGCAGAGCCTAACTGAAAAAGACTTAAAGCCGCGATAAACAACAGGCACCTCATATTGTCGTGGAAAGTAGTTCTTGCAGTTCTTGCAGTTCTTGCAGCAATAGGAGACAGCGAATGAATGTTGGAGCTGGATGTTGTATTGGTTGACGTTGGGAATGGGTCTCCTCTGCGGGTCAACTACCGAGATAAGTGGCGACTGGCTGCTGGACCCCTGGTACAGTGGCTACCGTCCCGTATGCGCCTAGGTGTGTTTCACTAGTCTGCCAATTGGTACATTCCTATTAAGATGTATATATTAAAAAACACAAAAAGTACCTAAATCAAAATGTTAATACTAAATATAGGGTGAATAAATAGTGTAAATAGTACAATGTTTTTATAAATATAATATAAGGAATTACTTATATATTTAAATAAGTAAGTAAATTATTAAATTAGTAATATATTTAAAATATAATATATTAATTAATATTAACATACTTTATTAACATATGTTAAGTTAAATCATAATAAAAACATCTATTATATTCAATATTCATTTTTCTAATCTTATTAAGTAAAGAAAACACGTAATGTATTTTTCTATTAAGTATTAGTACTAGGTACTATGTACCTTTGTGGCTGTGAAGATGAAACTGTCGCGACACTAAGCGTACCTCCATCTCCATATAACATTTGACAAGTTGACGTATGACTATTCAATATAGGTTGCTATTAATAAATTCTATAGGTAAGAAGACCCTTTCAATTGAAAACCGAGTTGCGTCTCCTTTAATTCTTATCTGATATCGGTGTCTATAGTGACTGCTATTCAAGCTCACCCCCGCGAGGATGTCAGCTGTGAAGCTCTATCCGTGATGTCTAGTCCTTGCTACGATTATTACCTAGGTATATTGCCTTGAAAGCTAGGAAGGCTGTAACAATGTCCCCCGAGCTGCCAGACGACGGCAGCGCGCGCCCGTCGCCGATAGGTCTACACGCCACCAGTTCTCGGGATAACCAGTATGGGGTTGGCGGCTCCCAGCAACGACCCGGCGATGAATCCACGACCCAAACAACTGGCGAATCTGGACTGTCGTCCTACTGGCATACTTCGTACAGCTCTCCCCATGATCGCATTAGTTTCGAGTCTCATATAGACCCTACGGCACTGCAGGCAGCGCTACCTCCTGATATTCCTCCACCATTGACACAATCTCCACGCTTCCCTCCAGACTCCTATCACTCGTTCGATGGAGGGTCACAATATGTCGAAGAGTCGACGAATCCCTATTACGCAGATTCCGATAGAGTTCCACTCACAGCGGGAGTGCAACCGATTTCTGGCTCTCACCTTGGAGACGACCATGGCAGGGAGAGTTTTCAAACTGTCCGCGACCTCGATAGCAATCCAATCCGGGACCATGAAGGAAAGGGCCTTGGACACCGTTCTAATCTTGGCTATTCACCTGGTGGTCACCAAAGCTATGGCCTGACGCTAGATCCTGGCGATTTTCGCTTATCGCGGTCAGCTTCAACAGCTGGAGCTTTCCAGCGCGCCGGATCAATTGTGAGGGCCATGTCACAAAGAGTTGTGAATCTAAGTGGAGAGTCGGATGTTGCTGACCAGCGGTCCTCTCGCTATCACTCCCGGTCTCGCGACTCGTCAAGTGAAAGGCCGCTCAATCCAACACTATCAACGTATGCCGATGAGCCGTATTATTCTCGAGCAACTACATCTCCGGCAGAGAAAGCCGCTCAAAATACCTTCTTAACCACTGAAATCCCAACTCGATTACCTTCACCAGCTCGTCCAAAGGCTCCCAACCCCCTGAGAGGAAAGTCACTGGGGATATTCTCTCCAGAAAGTCGATTTAGATTATGGATGTGTGATTTACTTGTCAATCCCTACACGGAGCCTTTTATCCTTATCCTTATTGTTTCCCAAACGATTCTACTTGCCGTAGAATCCTGGCCAGATGTTTTCAGCCCGGGAAATGCGCGCCCCGAGCAATGGGGTAACAGACCAATAGATTGGACAATGCTGGCGCTCTTCATTATATTCACACTCGAGATCATGGCTAGGATTGTGGTATCTGGCTTCATATTGAATGCAGAGGAGTATAGCACCATTGATCGCAAGAGGGGCATCCGAGCAGCGGTTGCCGATCGATATAGATCTATTTTTCAACCACAGAGGCAAAGGTCTACTAAGAGAGTTCGGTCTGCCCAGCCTCAGGCCCCAGCATTCGCCCGTTCATTCACGACTTTGATGCAGGGGCAGCAAACTGGCCCCAAGACGGTTGAGGACCAGCAACGGTTCCAATTAGCACGCCGAGCCTTTTTGCGGCATTCATTCAATCGTCTAGATTTTGTTGCTGTGGTCTCTTTTTGGATTACCTTTGTGCTGGCTATGACTGGCACTGAGAACCGACACCACTTCTATCTCTTCCAAATGCTTAGTTGTCTCCGTATTCTGAGATTACTGGCTCTTACTCACGGCACTGCTGTAAGTACTAACATCTTTACGTTGACCTGGTGTGATGCCAAGCTTATACCACCCAGATTATCCTAAGAAGCTTGAAAAAGGCAGCCCCTCTCCTTGTCCGTGTAGCGTTTCTCATCAGCTTCTTCTGGCTCCTTTTTGCCATTATCGGTATACAGAGTTTTAAATCAAGTTTGAGTCGGCAGTGCGTTTGGTTGGATCCATTGGATCCGAGCAATCTAACGGCCTCTTTCACCAACAACATGCAATTTTGTGGTGGCTACTTGGATAACGCGACTGGAGCCACACTACCTTGGGTGAAATTCAGTGCTGCAGGATCTCTAGAAAACCTAGTCAAGGGCACTACCGAAGGAAAGGGATATTTGTGCCCCAGAGGCTCAATATGTCTACAACAAGACAACCCTTATAATGGGACAGTGAACTTTGACAACATCGTCCAGTCTCTCGAGCTGGTATTCGTCCTAATGAGTGCCAACACATTTTCCGACCTAATGTACTATACTATGAACTCAGATTATCCTCAGGCGGCTTTATTCTTTGGTGCTGCCATCATGATTATGATGTTGTGGTTGACCAACCTGCTTATAGCTGTCATCACCTCGTCATTTCAGGTCATTCGTGAAGAAAGCAAATCGAGTGCCTTTACTGTCGAAGCGGAACCGTCCGCCCAGCCACATACAGATGAGCGTAAACGAAAAGATTCACCTGCTCAGCACCTGTACAAGAAGACATCGCTGTTTTGGTTGCTTGTGGTGGCTTTCGCTTTACTTAGTGAGGCGTGCCGTAGCGCATCCATGTCCGATTCCCGGAGAAGATATATCGATGCGGCTGAGATTGTTGCCACTATACTACTTGATATTGAAATCATCATACGAATTGTGGCCTATTGGAGCGTGTTCCATCGAAGTTGGCAGAATATCTTTGACCTGGCTTTGGCTATAATCGATTCCGTTATCCTCATACCAGCAATCCACAACTCCCGCGTGTATGCCTGGCTGACTGTCTTTCAAGTTCTTCGAGCGTACCGACTTGTTTTGGCAATACCTGTGACGCGAAAGCTCATACTTTTGGTGCTTGGCAGTGCGGCCGGTATTGGCAATCTTATGCTATTTGTATTTTTAATGACCTTTTTGGTCGCAATCTTGGCCGCACAGCTGTTCAGAGGACAAATACCTGTTTATGACGATGGAGAACTAAATCGCATCTCATTCAACACCATGTTCAACTCTTTTCTCGGCATGTATCAGATACTCTCCAGCGAGAACTGGACCGCCATTCTATACTCTGTCACTTCTTATACAAAAGCGCTGAAAACCGCTTGGATCGGAGCGATATTCCTGATAGGGTGGTTTATCTTGGCATTCTTTATCTTGATTAACATGTTTATTGCTGTTATTCAAGAGAATTTTGACGTGTCGGAAGACGAGAAACGTTTAGAGCAAGTAAAGGCTTTTCTTCAGAGGAAGGAACTCGGGCGTACGTCCAACAACCTTACGCTTTCTACGATTTTCAGCTTTGGAAAATCTCGCCGACGCAAGGATCCGTTAGACTATGGCCCAGGCATGATGGAAATGCTTCTTAAAGACACTGTGGTGCAGGAGTTCTTAGACGATGAAGTGGCCGACCCTCTCCGTCTTCACCCAGAGCACAGAAATCGACCACAACGGAGTACCACAAATCTGATGGGAGACGGCAAGCCGGGTTTCTTGAAAAAGATATGGGCTCGGTTTAATAAGAGCGGACCTAATCCTTTCTACTCAAATCTTCGCTTCGACGGCCCCAATGGCACTTTGGATCCTCGGCAAATGGCCCGACAGGCAGTATCGGCAACGTCGGCTCGCCGGAAAGCTCAGCGAGATTATCTCGCTCAGAATCCTCGATACAATACATCGCTATACGTCTTCCCCCCCAACAGCCGCGTCCGACGCCTTTGCCAAAGTCTTGTAGGCCCAGCCAGGGGCCTCGAACGCTTCGACGGGGTTGAACCCAACAGGATCGCGTGGTACTCGATATCCGGCTTCATTTACGCGTCCGTGTTTGCAATGGTTGTTATAGCTTGCGTTACAACTCCGCTCTATCAGAAGGAATATCGAGAGCAGCATCCATCCACCGTGACTCAATGGTACATCTGGACAGACCTGGCCTTTGCTGTGATCTTTACCCTCGAAGCAGCCATCAAGATAATTGCAGATGGTCTTTTATGGACGCCCAATGCATTTCTACGCAGCTCGTGGGGCATAATTGACGCAGTTGTGTTAATAACCCTGTGGATCAATGTCGTAACATTGTTGATTGACGACGGTGGCATCTCGAGAGCGTTGGGTGCTTTCAAAGCACTTCGAGCGCTGCGGCTACTGAATGTGAGCGACAGCACGCGTGATACATTCCACTCACTGATTATCGTCGGATGGTGGAAACTTTTAGGCGTACGTACATATTTTATATCCGGTTACTTTTGCTGCAAGACTGCTAACATGATTCTAGGCTGCGTTTGTGTCTATATCTCTCTTGATCCCGTTTGCTATCTACGGCCTCAACCTATTTAATGGATTACTGGTATCTTGCAATGATTCTGGCGATAACATCTCTACCCTAACTCAGTGTTTTGGCGAATTCAACAGCACCCCTTATTCCAACGACTGGCCGATGTTAGCACCCAGAGTGGCATCAAATCCATACTTTGGCTTTGATGACTTTGGCTCGTCACTTTTCACGCTGTTCCAAATTGTCAGCCAAGAAGGGTGGGTGGACGTTTCATTCGCAGCTCAGGCGATTACAGGCCTTGGCATGCAGCCACAAGACCTAGCAAACCAGGGAAACGCAATGTTCTTTGTCGTTTTCAACCTCTTAGCCACTGTCTTCATTCTTACGCTCTTCATCTCCGTGTTCATGAGAAATTATACAGAGCAGACGGGAGTTGCGTTCCTCACGGCAGAGCAGCGATCATGGCTTGAGCTGCGAAAGCTCTTGCGTCATATCTCCCCATCAAAAAGCTCATACGACGATTCAGAGAATAAATGGAAAAAATGGTGCCACAAGAGGGCCATTGAAAAAAGAGGGAAATGGTACCAGGCGGTTACGGTTGTTCTGGTTTTGCATCTGCTCTTGCTGGTGGCAGAATTCAACAATGAGCCATCGTGGTGGACGACAACCCGAGAATACATATTCTTGCTCTTCATTCTGATTTACATTACCAACATCACGATTAGGATAGTAGGTCTGGGGTGGACGCGTTTTAGGCGGAGCTCTTGGGATCTCTACTCTCTAGTAGCTGTATCGGGTGCCTTTATTGCTACTCTTGCACTACTAATTGCAGACAGTGGAGCCGATACGTATGTGCAGCTTCACAAGATATTTTTGGTTGCCATCGTTCTCTTGCTGATTCCAAGGAACGATGCGCTGGATCAACTATTCAAGACGGCAGCAGCAAGTCTGCCGGTCATCAGCAACCTCTTGGCTACTTGGTTTGTTTTTTTCCTTGTCTTTGCCATCGCAATGACGCAGACCTTTAGCTTAACTCGCTTCGGTGATAATGAGGGAAGTTACATCAACTTTAGGACAGTTCCAATGGCTCTGATATTCTTATTCAGAATGAGTCTAGGAGAAGGATGGAATCAAATCATGGAAGATTACGCGGGGATTGAATCACCACTCTGCGTTGAGACTGACAACTTCTTCGACAGCGATTGCGGCAGCAAGCCATGGGCCAGATTCTTATTTATCGCTTGGAATATTGTCAGCATGTACATCTTTGTGAATCTGTTTGTTTCACTCATTTTCGAGAGTTTCAGCTATGTTTACCAGCGCTCGTCTGGCATGGCCGTTGTGGATCGCGATGAGATTCGACGCTTCAAGGAGGCCTGGCGGAGCGTAGACCCCGCCGGGACTGGCTACATCACAAAAGAGGCCTTTCCACGCCTCCTCGGTGAGCTTTCGGGAGTTTTCCAAATGCGGATATACGAAGCAGATGATTCTGTTCGGCAAATCTTGGAGGATGTGCGGGAAGATACAAGAATTTCTCGCCATACTTCCATCGTTTCGGTGGCTGCGCTCAACGACGTTGACATTAATCGGCTGAACGAAAGACTGTCCCAGCTGGACGTTGAGAAAGTCCGCAAACGGCGCCATCGATTTAATATATTCTACGAGGAAGTCCTCGTAAGCGCCGACCCCGACAAGGGAATTGCCTTTACCGATGTTTTAATGATACTTGCTCACTACAACATTATAAACGATAGCAAGAGTCTAAAGTGATTCTTACCATTAACCCTTGATACATTCGAAGAGGTTCAATTTACTAACGAATAATAGACTCGAAGAATTTTTGCGGCGCCGTGCGCGCCTGCAACGCGTTGATGAAGGGATACGACGGCGAATCGTACAGGGCTTCTTTGATACGCTGTAAGTGGCCGCAGCGACTATTTAGTATAAACATACTTGATGTCCACAGCAGTGAGCTGACTAGATTGGCTTAGATATTACTCGCGCAAGTTTAAAGAACACATGGAGCGAAAGAGAGCATCTCGCATGACAACAATCCCGCAGCTCAGAATCCCGGATATCTTCGTGGAGGATGACGAAGGCCTCATGCCCGGAGATGCCGAAGTGAAGATGCGCCAGCTTGGTGTTGATGCTGACGCGGACGAGCAAAGAAAGCTAAGCTGGCATGGCAATACGGCATCAGGCACCACTTCCCAAAGCCACCCCCTTGGGTTGCCGCGCTCGTCACTTTCGGCAAATGAGGAACCCAGGGGCTCTTCAACTTTCAGCTTCGAACTTGAGACACCTGATATCCAGGAAACGACAGCAGCAGAGCTTGAACGCCCGGCAGATAGTAGCAACCTGGCCTCGGTTCAGGACATGCTGGACGGCTCGGTATGGATTGATAGCATTCGACGCAGCACGACTTTACGCGCTACGGACAGAAGCTCCTATCGCTATGACGACTTACCCTAGATTTAGACCGGTTAGATTTTGTCTGCTAATTATATATTGAACGAATTGAATGAAATATCAAAGAATATGGTTGGGGCACAAAATATATCTGCAAGTGTATGTATTTAGTTTTGGCCAGTTGGTATGAATCTAATGCCATGACGCCTTTTGGGTACTCCTCCTCCTTTTCCTTTTTACCGTAACGCTTTTTTATATCTTTCTTCTTTATGCAGTTCTCATTTCCCATTTCCCATTACGCATTTATCGTGTGTTGTGGATGTCCAGGACAAGGATATCCTGAGCACCCACTCGCTTCAAGTCATCCATGACGAGCGCAATCTTCTTCTTCTCAACCATTGAGCTCACAGCAACCCAGCCATCATCCAGTGATGTGACTGTGGGAGCACGCTTTCCTGGTGTGATCTGCGTGGCCGCAGCGATGCTTGACCGCTCAATGTTGTATTGGCACAGAACATATCGCTGGGCAGTGATGACGCCGCGGATACGTGCCGCAATGAGGTCTACCAAGTCGGTGTTGGACGGTGAGCGCGACTTGATGAGGACAGCCACCGACTCGACAACGGTGTCGATGGCCTTGAGGCCCGCAGCCCTCATGGTCTCTCCTGATTCTGCGCAGAGTCAGTTGCCATGTTCATGCTTCTTCTTGACACTATAGAGACAAGTGCAGGCACCAAAGGAAGAGGAAAAAGAAGAAGCAACTTACCAACAAGATCCACGATGCCGTCGGCGACGCCCAGCGCACAAGCTGCCTCAACACTGCCGCTCAGCTCAATGATCTTGGTCCGCAGCTTCTGAGGCGCAGCTCCGCCTGCCTGTGCCTCCAGCTGGGCAAAGTACTCTTCAGTCAGGCTGACGAAACTCGTGCCAATTGTGCGGCCAATCAGGTCTGTGCCGGTGGCGTATTGTCCCTTCTCGGGGACCTGAACCTGCAGCTTGCACGCGCCAAACTCGAGGTCCATGACCATCTCGCTGCCCGAGACCGGCGACGAAGGATCCTCGCTGGCGGCGGCCTTGACGGCAGCATCGTGCTCCTTGACCTGGTCCCATCCCGTAATGCCAAGGTCGACGCGGCCCTGGCCGACAAACGTGGGGATGTCCGCCGCGGGCAGGAAAATGAGGGCGATGGGGAGGTTCTTGACAAGGGCGATGTCAAGGCGGTTCTCGCGGCGGAACTGGATATCGGCGCCCTCTAGAAGATTCAACGTAGCTGCGTTTAATCGGCCCTCTACGGTAGGAAAGACGAGCGGGCTGGTCAGCGACAATTACACTTGTTTGCGGGTTGATTGGATTCAGACACGGTTGGCAGGGTTGTGCGCGCAGCCAAAGACTAACTTTTTGGTACCGCAAAGAGCAGGCGTCCTTCGAGACTGCGGCAGGCAGTAGAATTAGCGAATTGCTTCACGTCACTTTCAAATACAAGCAGTAGAAGAAAGAAGAAAGGACAAAATAGAAGAACAAAAGAAGAAGAAAACGGGTTACAATGGCTGGCGTTGGCTTACCTGTTGACGAGATCCATGGTTGCGACGAAAGTTGACTACACAGGTGCAAATCGAAAGAAACAATATCGTCAATCGACACTTGAATATCGGAGAACGAAGTTGCAAAAGTAGTCGTAGAGCCAAGGTGGGACTCTCAAAGCTACGTCCGAGTCATAAGGGCCCAAGTCTCTCATTTAGCAGCTATCATATTCTTTTTTTTTCCTACTACCCAAAAGCGCTAGGAGTATTTTCTGCAGATATGACGAACGTTGGATTTTAAGCCTCCGGTTGCGGCGCGAATTAGTTTTTTTTTTTTTTTTTCTCTTTTTTTAAACCTCGCAGTGAGTGACAAAGGAAAAGCTGCTGATGCTGGTGCAATACTACACTTACTAAGTCGTCTTAGCAGTACAGGTAGGTCCTGGTTAGTGAGCCTAAATGAGGTAGGTAGGCAGCCTTGATAGCCTGATGTGTTTCGTGCCGGCACTGGCATTGGCTGCATTCCGCTGAGTCTGATGACATCTGTTAGCGGTATTTAGGCTATTGGCAGGCTATTTTAGCACAAGGCGACACGAGACGTGGCCGTCAAGTGCCATTGGTCAGGTGCTGCTGGAAACTACAATCGATATGGATGCTCGAACAGGGCGAGTAGTAGACGGCCATGCGATTAATAGTAACAACAACACTAATCATTCAACCACCTCAACGTGCAACGTGTATTACTTTGTATTTGAAATCAGTATTAAAGCCTATATACCGCAGGCGAACATACCTCGATTTATCCTCGCTTAGTGTTTATGTATATTGTGCCCCCTCCCCAGGAATATCGCGCCGTCTACTATGCCAGGTCTACATATTTTGATTTTAAAAAATAAAAATAAAAATAAAAAACAAGACGCCATACAGATGAAACGGCGACCTCGGTTAACTTGACCTGGAATTAGAGAGCCTCCCAAGCTATTAATGACGAGAAAAAAAAAGGCAATAAAACAAACAATACCGGGAAGTCCCAGCTATAACATTTTTGCTGCAGCGCAGCGAGCTCTTCGCCATACCCATTCTACCATCCAATGTTCAAGAGAGAAAACAAAACAAATAAGAAAAGACAGATGCGCTGCGACTGGTTTCGCTCTGAAAGACGAAAATGAATATTTATATGGCACGCCGCGTGCTTCAGGTTGACATTCTACACAGTATAGCATGATAAAACTATACCCAAGTCAGAATGCCCAAAGTGAAGTGATTGCTCAAGAAATCGACAACTCTTCTATTGGGGTTAGCTTTCCCTAGCATCCTTTGCGTGTACTTAAAATGCAGGTCCCAAACCATTGCGCGATTGCCTCTTGCTGAAACGATTTCTTTTTGCCGGCGTGGGATCCTCGATGCTCGCCTGGCCTTTGGTCAAATGCCCACGTGCAGATCGATCGCTGGTTGAGAAGCCGTCAGAGCCATTCCCTCTGCCGACTAAAGTGCTGGAGGGCGTCGACACTGTTGAGGATATCTCGCCAAATGAGTTATCGGCTGTTAAAGTCTGGGACAGTGCCATGTCCCTGGCTCTCTCTAGGCTTTCGATCCACTCCTCAGCAAACGCTAGATCGCCTGTTGAGTTGGATGATGATTTGGTTTCCTCAAAGGTAAAATGTTGACCACCCTATAAAGGTTGTAAGTATCGTGACGAGTAGATATATGGGTACTCATGTATTCATATATATATGTGTGTACATATTCAAAATGCGGAAAGAAAAAGAAATGTCTGGGCAAACTTACCGTATCGAGACACCATACATGCTGGCCTTTAGCATCTTGATGGGTTTTCCACGTGGTGTCAGGAGCCAAAAGTGACAGCTCCTGCTTTGCTCTCTTTTCTTCACCTCCGGCTGGAGCTAGTAAAATGCGGCCGCTTGACGTGACCATTACAAGTCTCTGTCGTTTCTTTGTTGTACTTCCGCCAAAGAACCGAGCTAATTTCCTATGACCCTCATCGGATCCTTTGCCATGAGATCCGTTGGGTATTGGCGTAGAAACCACCATCAAATCCCCAAGCTTCAAAATCCGTTCGTTCGATTTTGTAAGCACAGGTGACCATTCAATGTCTAGCTGTGTCGGGGGTGGTAATTCTGTAATGATACGGGCAGGTCGGCTATTACCATTTGATGTACCACCGGGCGTATTGTTTGATGGCTGCGCTCGAGTATTTGAGCCAGCGTTTGCCGAGAAGTTGTTGAGTTGGATGATGTTTGGCTCTGGGGTTGGAGGGACGTAGGGCCTCAGTCGTGGAGCCTTGGACCTCCATAGAAATCTCCCAAACTGCTGGCCACTGAAGAACTCATGGTTCTTGATGTGCTCTATAGTCAGTCTCCTAGCAGGGTCAAGCACGAGCAATCGCTCGACCAAGTCTCGTGCCAGAGGAGGAAACCCCTGCGGAAACTCATATTCTAGATTGACAATCTTCTGGAAAGTCAAGTATTCGCTTCCAGCCTTGAAAGGCGGCCGCCCAGCCAGTAACTGGTAGATGATACAACCAAAAGCCCACAGGTCACTAGCCTTGCAAGCATTCTTGTGCGTGAGCAATTCAGGGCTTACATACTCGGCCGTTCCGACGAAAGAAGCGGCGCGGCCATCATCGCCGTTCCGACTATCCGAATCCAGCCCGTCGCCCCCATCGGCTTTTGTATCCTGAGCGGTTCGAGGGTCGGGAAGAAGCCTAGCAGTGCCGAAATCTGTGATCTTGACGTGCATTTGGTGGTCAAGCAGCACGTTCTCTGGCTTCAAGTCTCGATGTATAACGCCTCGGGAGTGCATGTAGTCTATTGCGTCGAGGATCTGAGCCCCGTAGTATCGTGTGCATTCGACATCAAAGGTGCCGGTTCTCTTCAGCACGCCTAGCAGCTCGCCGCCGTTGCATAAATCGAGCACATAGTAGAGCGATGTCTCGTCTTGAAACGTGTAGTAGAGACGGACAATGCCCGGATGCTCTGTTAGGCGGTTTAATGTGTTCTTTTCGATATTAACATACTTGATCTTCTTCTCCTTGATGATGTGTCTCTTTTCCAAAACCTTGATGGCGTATTCTTTGAGTGTTTGGCGGTCGGTTGCGAAATATACGGTACTGTATGAGCCCTCCCCAAGAATTCGGCCAAAGGAAAAATCTCGAACTCCTTTTTTGACCTGCCGAACGACAGGACGGCCGCTCTTGTCGAGCTCCCGGCGTACGCTGACGGCAGCTCCGCGGTCTTTCCACTCTTCGCTGGTTGTCGGAACAGGGGTATCTCCCGCAAAGCCCTGGGGCATGGTAGAGGAGACATCTCGCTGAGAGGGCTGTCGAGAAATCACGGACTGTGGTTCTTGATGGAAGTGAGGGTTCGACCTTTGGCTTGGAATGCGGCGGGGATATTGTGATGCTGGACCAGAGGACGCAAAGCCAGGCCCTGCTGCTGCCGCCGCCGCTGCTGCATCCGGGCCGTCTAGCCTCAGGCCGTCCGAGGAGTGTAGAATGCGCGGAGGCTGGGCATGAGGAACGTCCAGCTGACCATGGGCAGCTGGAGCGGGTGCTGGAGTTGGCTCAACAGGGCCAGCGCCGGGCACGACAAACGTTGGTGGTGCGGCCGGTCTCGAGTCGTCTTGGGCGGCGGGAGCATTGACAGCATCAGCGGAATCAGAGTCGTCCGGGTTGGCAATTCGTAGCCCTCCGAGCGCCTGGGAGAGGCTCAGGTCCCCATTCATCTTGACGGTCAAGGAGCACAAGATGCTCCTTGGGGATGGCGGGCGGACTCCCTATGAAACAGGGTGACGATAAACAAGTAGCCGCAGCCAGCACGGACGGCCGTGTGCTAACTCACTTCCAGCTGCTGGGTCCTATAATAATGGAGTGGGCTCAAGCCTCCCTTCATCTGGCGCATCACAGGTACTCTGAGCAGGTACGAGGTACCTAGCCGGTATTGGCCAGCGTCTTGAGCGAGTAAGGGATGCCCCCCTGTACTTCAGGTACGGCACGGTACACACATTATACTAGCAGCCCGCCCCGATGCCTTGTGTAAAGTCAGCGAGGCGACTGACGCGTAAAAATACCTAGGCACTCCAAATTAACGAGCAGATTAATAGGTACTGTAGCATGCAAGCCCGACAAATACGAAGTACATAAATACATAGTAGGTACGCAGCACCCGGGGCATGTCTGGTATTATTTTGTTAGAAAACCTACTAGTAGATATGGATAGATGGAAGGAATTGAGATTGGTAGGTTTCCTCTCCAATATGCAAGGCCGCATGGATTCCATTTGCGCATTTGCCCAGTAGCTCGAGTCTATCAATCAATCTACACGTTGTTAGCTAGCATGCGCGTCCATGCCTGCAGCGAGCGTGCTGCTGCTACCGCCAAGTGATCCCGTCAAATGAGACTCGACACCCACTAACAATACCACTTGGCAAGTACAGTGTACCTCGGCACTATTATAGAACCTAATTTGTCTGTAGACCGCCGTATGACGAACATGACTTGTGCTATCGCTTATCTGAATAAATTGTTGAGAACAAAGGGACCAGACCCCTCCCTATAACATTGCTGCCTTCTGCCCCTAAAGATTCGCTTCCCTACTTTTGCGAACGCCATCTTCACGGGTTTCTCTTCAATACGGACGCCCTACCTTGTGTGATTTTGCAACGAAGTCGAATTCGAGAATACTCTTACAGAATGAAGGACCCTTTCTTTATTCCGCCGATACCATGGCTGTCTGAGCTGGTGCGGCCCTGGTGTGACCGCTTCGACCTCCCCTCGCTGCCAGACCACATCCACGAAGTCCTCCTGTCCGCCGTCTTCTACTCGCTCATCTTCTGGCCGATTTCACCGCTGCTGTCGAAATTAATAGCCCCTCAGCACTACTCGAAGCTGTCCCGAAGAAGACGACTGAACTGGGATGCACATGTTGTGTCGTTCATCCAGAGCACGCTGATCAACGTCATCGCCATTTGGGTCATGGTAGTAGATCAAGAGAGAAAGAGCATGAATTCTGAGGAGAGGATATGGGGCTATACTGGCGCTGCAGGCATGGTCCAGGCATTGGCAGCTGGTTATTTCGTATGGGATCTATACGTGACTAGCACTAATTTGGATGTCTTCGGGCTCGGGACTTTGGCGCACGCGATCGCAGCTCTGCTTGTCTACACACTTGGTTTTGTGCGTTTTGCCCTCAGTGACGGGGTGATTTATCTGACCCCGCTGCTAACTTTCTCTGTAGCGACCTCTTGTGAACTACTATGGATGCGTCTTCATTCTATGGGAGCTATCCACGCCCTTCCTCAACATTCACTGGTTCTTTGACAAGGTCAACATGACGGGCTCTAGCGCACAGCTTTACAACGGCATTCTCCTGCTCTTCACCTTCTTCTCTGCCCGACTTATTTACGGCACCTACCAGTCCTTTTGCGTCTTCAGCGACATGTGGGCCGCCGTCAATGCCCACCCTACAAAGACATTCTCGCAATCGCTCGTCATGCAATACGCGACGTCGGAGTCCACTGTCCCGACTTGGCTTGCAGTATCATATCTGGCGTCAAACATCACTCTCAACACCCTAAACTTCTACTGGTTTATCATGATGATACGGGCTGTTCTCAAGCGATTTAAGCCAAATGAAGAGCATTCTAGCGCTACCGAGGTCGAAGGGGTCGAAGTCGACCTGTCTTTGATTGCTTCTGGCGTGTCTGTGGGCAAGGGGGCGCAACACCGGAAACAGGCAACGTCCTGAAGTTTGAGATGGATGATGATCTGCCTTGGTTAACCCATGGGTCTCATGATGTTGTCATTTAGAAGGATATAGAGCTTATGATTGGGCTACGCGGCGCAACAGTCAGGCGACCTAGGAGGTTGCCGGGTATAATGCTTTGCTAGTGCTATTTGCGGGGTTTATTTTAGTATCGGGGTTTAACTGCTATACAGGACATGACTTATTACTGTTTAACTGTTTCACGGTCATGTATGAATATAAACGATTTGAATTTTTCCTACGGGAGCATATTGGATTTGGACCTTTAATGTACAACCTATTCTTTCAATTACATGGTGGGTAACACGGGCTACAGGTAGGAGACCGGCAATATCTCGTACAGATAGGAGTTGGTCTGGCCAAACCCAATCTCTAAATTATAGCGGGTATCTGTGCTACTTGGCAGATCCTTCAAATAAATAAGTAGAAATGCTACTTCTTTGTACTAGTAGGCTGGTTATATATATTGCTGTCTTATATAAGCCCGCCTAGTATTATTCAGATGGCAGCGCGGTCTTATGTAATACATAATACTACTCCCTCGCAGCATCATCACCGCTAGCGGCACCTTTATAAGACCCAGCGGGCCAAGTTCCCACTAAAGCTTTTTCCCATCTCTATCACATCCATCATAGCGAGGCCACCTGGGGATCATCTCCGTCGGGCTCGCTATCCCGCTTATAGCTTAGGCGGCACACTAGAGTCCGGCACCCCTACCAGACTTGGAGGCTCTGTCTGTCACTTCATCCAGCGATCTCCACCGATGCTGGACCATCCGACTTGGACTTGGACGTCGTGAAATCATGAATTCCGCTTATGGCTCTGATGCGCCCCGGCAGGTGCCCATCGGCGGCCATGGTCCGACACTGGCAATGCCTCCCATTGCTCCGCCAAGCTCGGCCTCCAACTCGGCGGCTCTAGACCACCTCTATCATCATCACCAGCCGCAGCCGTCACTACGCCATCCACACAGTGCTGCCCATTCTCCCATCCAGAGCCAGGCTCCTCCACCACACCTTCATCCTCAGCCTCACCACTACCCGTATCACCAGCCGCCGCATCTAGACCGAGAACAGCAGCTGCCTCCTCTGCAAGCTCCCTACGACACGCATCTGCCGCCGCCGCCTCACTCACAGCATGTCCAGCACAATGCCTTGCCGCCACGGCCAGATCCATCCGAACCCAGCCACTCGAATCAACAACATTATGTTGGCGAACACAAGGATCAACCTCAGCGTCTCCTTGATCATCCGCATAGACCTCATGAATTATACACAAGCATGCCGGCCAGCACCTTGATTCATTCCGAAGCGCAACAAATGGGGACGGCGAACATGCTGATTCCCTTCTCAAAAGTAGACGAGGCGACAGGCCGCAGATATCAGTTGGTTGCCTCTATACTGTCATCATCCTCAGTGACTGGATCAAGCTAACATAGTCTTTAAGCCTTGATGTTGCCCAACAACCTCGACGAGCCCGCATGTGCGGCTTTGGAGACAAAGTAGCATTCCCCCTTCCAAAAAAAGCAGAATGCACTGTTTACAGACCACTAATGGCTCTGCAGGACCGACGACCAATAACACCACCTCCCTGTGTGCGGCTTGTCATCACCGACATAGCCACGGGAAAAGAGATAGACAGCAAGTACGTGTGGCTTGACGCGACTGAATTATCTTGCTCCTATATTGGGTCAACAATGCTAATCCGCCAACAGTGACATTGATTTTTCAATGTTTGTGCTCAATGTCGATCTCTGGAGCGAAGACGGCACACGAGAAGTCAATCTTGTTCGCTCGTCCACCAACAGCCCGTCAATATCCTCCACAGCACCATATGCATATATCGGCGAGAGTCCCCAGTCAGCCTATGGACAAAGCAGCCTTCCTCCGAGCCGGGACGCGGCTTACCCTCCGCCACAGAATGGGGGCTACGCCTCGGATTATCAGCCGCAGCCGAACTACACACAAGGTAATAATACCATCACTAAATATCTTCCATGAAGTATTCAAGGTTAATCAATCTCGTTGGAAATCATAGCCTCTTCAACATACCCCCCTGGCGGGTCATATGGCCCACCACAGCAGTATTTCCCACAGCACCAGTCCCAGACTTTCCGCTCAGACGCAGGGGCACAGGCGAGCGTTACATCTTTTAGAGGATATCTGCCAGATTCGACCTCCTTGACGAGAATGGCTGTGGTGGGTGGGCAGCCTCAGGGCATGTTCACACGAAACCTCATCGGAAGCTTAGCCGCAAGCGCTTTTCGATTAGCTGATACAGAGGAGCGTATAGGCATCTGGTTTGTCTTGCAAGATCTCAGTGTCCGAACAGAAGGCCCATTTCGGTGAGTCAATTCGAATCCATCCATACAAGTAGAGATGCTAACTGTCTGGGCAGCTTAAGATTCTCTTTTGTCAACGTTGCCGCACGCGGGGGAATGCCACAGAATGGCTCAAGAGTAAACACTGGAAGGGCTCCCATATTGGCGTCCTGCTTCAGCGAGGTGTTTAATGTTTATTCTGCCAAGAAATTTCCTGGGGTTTGCGAGAGTACGCCGTTGAGCAAGGCTTTTGCTGCGCAAGGAATTAAAATACCGATCAGAAAAGATGCGAATCTCAAGGGAGGAGATGGAGAAGACGACTACGGCGACTAGGCTTGCATTTATGCTATAAAGAGGCCTGTTGGCTTCATTAATACTGTTATCATAACTAAATGCGATGGTGGCAATGCAGAATGTTTAACATGAGAGGGATGAATGGGAAAAGACCAGCTTAGGATAGGACCTATGAATACTGACCATATATCTAGCATACTAGATTTTTCTTATTTTGGTGACATATTTTGGTGACAATAAAGCGCAAATTAGACACAGGTCGTGACTTTATCACGCAGAAACAAATCTTTGCGTCAGAACGTTTATTAAATATACATGCGGTTCACTACTCTATAAGCCAAAACTATCAAGCAATGACGCGGCATCTGGTTCGTGAAAAGTCGAAGGTGGCGCCACAGGGTGCTTAACCTGTTCACGCTCGGCCAATAGCGTGGCGTGTAGCTCCGACGTGTGAAGGTCGTTGACAACGAGCGAGCTTCTTCGCCTCAGGAGCGTCAATGGGTTCATATCACCCCCTATTCTAGGCGGCGTCTGTTTTTGGAATTCCCATGTACGAACTATGAATAGGAGTCGTGTTAGCTTCCAGGTTCATTTGAAGAAAGATTCGAGGGTGTGTACCTAAGCTAAGGCCAAGGAGATCGCAGCCCATGCGGTCATAGAGCTTCGCGCTGTGAAGAACAAATTCCCATTCGACTTTGGGCGACACTTTGGATGCGCCTCGCAGCGTCTGTAGTGTTTGCTGCCGTAGCTGGGAATAGAGGACGACCAGAGCAGGATCGTCGGCCAAGAACGATCGAGACTTCAGGTCTGGTGAAGAAGGCGTTTCAAGGAGAGTGTATATAGGAGTCTGGTCTATCCATTAGCATTATTTTCATGGGCTGATCATCTTGTGGTTTTCAAGGGAGAAAATCCAAAGCCGGTGATACTCACAGCTAGCGCCCTCACAGCCATATCTTTTCTGCCCAGCATCCAGAAGGCCCAAGATGCAAGCCAGCGATTGCCCTCATGCGACGCCACAGTGAGGACTTCTTCCCGTAGCACTTTTCGCAGTACAGGGCCGTCACTGCCCTCATAAACGCGAGTGATTGCAATGGCGAGTTGTAAATCTTTCAACTGGCGGAGACAGACTTCAACAGCGTCTTCCAGCCGGTCAGCTAATAGAAAGAAAGCAGCTGCGTACTCTATCATTTGCCAAAATTAGTATCAAAACCATTGTGTTATAGTAAGATTTCAATAACTTCAACGTACTAAATCGTCGCTTGCTAAGAAGAGCATATGCATTTTTCAATGCCGCTGTACGCCATCTTGGCTCCTCAAAGTCATGGGCCAAGAACCGCTGAGTGGTGATTTGCTCTTTGTCACCGCCGGCCATACGCCAAAGCCCCTGAAGCACTGCTTTCTTGCGAAGCGCAATGTAGAACAAGCTACAGTTCACTGGGCTTCTATTTCCATCCTTGGTATATTCGTTTCTGGCAACCGCTTCGAATTGTCGTTGCTATCCAAAGGTTAATAACTTTGTTCTGCCCACTCTCTTCGAGTCGGTTTACAAACCAAGTGTTGTGTGTCAGTAAGCCACATAAAAATCCCGCTCTCGCGCGCGTGCTCCCATAGCATGACATTGTGGTTCTGTCGAGTCACAAAATCAGCGAGAATATCTTGACTTTGAGAGTGGTATGCCCAGTTGATCTCTCTCCAAGAAAGCTGTATCTCATTTGTGCGTCCTTTGCGAAGTGCGTGTTGTCGAAAGAAAAGCATAAAACGAGCCCCGTTCTCGTCTATAGATCGGCGCTCTCGCTCAACCAATGCTACGCATTCGATCATATCTACGAGCTGAATCTGCTCATGACCAGAAAGTTGGGGGACGCCTAGCCGAGTAAGCTTCTCGTTAATGGATGTAGCAATTTCTTCAGTGAAGACTTCAGTTTCTTCTCCGTCGACGCCTTTGTCCGAAAAATCAAAACCTGTGTGAAGTGCTCGATTGGTATTTTCCTAGGTATTCGGTTAGCAAATGGGGCTTTCTAGATTGAAGGGCGGGTTTTCATACAGCAGTTGGTTGATAAAATTCCCCCAACTCTATACCAAGATAGTTATCCACAGATTCTCCCGGCACGAGGAATTTTAATGTTTTATGAAGTTCCACGAGGATTCGTCGCACAAGTTCATTCCTTCCTGCGAGGATGCATTGACTTAGAAACTGAGGGTGGAAGACGGGGAGGGGGCCGTTGAATCTCTGTACTGCTTCAAAGAGATCCCATGTGCCGTCTTGAAGGTGAGGCAGTCGAAGGTCAGTAGTAAGGGATTCTACGGCACTAACCCGTCGGTCGTGGACAAACAGCTGATTGCCGGCCCCAATAAGCAGATAGCCATTATCTAGCCAAGTTGAATCTCCGATTGGATGAGGTGTCAGCTCACGGATGCTAATCTCGCGAATTGGTATCCAGGCAGCGCCCTTGTTTAAGTAATCGAATCTCATTTGTGACAGGAGGAGGACACGATATTGGAAACCAACTGCTAATATGGATTGAGCATCGGGGGTTGACGTCCAATCTAGGTCTTGAATGGAATCTTGTAGCTGATAGTCTTGGTCAAACTCAAGACGAGCTCCGCCAACATCCCATATGGCAAGCCTCGACCCATCTGACCTTACTATTGCAGCCTTTTTGAGCATGCTACCACTAGCTAGTGATGGATCTGAAAATCCTGTCTCAGTACTACATGTTGATAGCCAATCAACTTTTCTGCGTTCTAGATCGACGCGAGCTGTCCAGAGGTCAATTCGGCCGGTTTGCGTACAGGACATGGCGATATCACGGGCAAAAATATCCAGGAAGCCAGACGATACAGGACCAGAACCAGCAGGGTCAACAGGAAGGACATACTTCAAATCATCATCAGACTTGAGGTTAACCTGGCTGAATTCTGTGATACCGACGTCCAAAGTACTTGCTGAATCCTTGGCGTAGTTGGGAAAACTAAGTTCCCAGACAATCCCACGTCCTTTGGACGTTATCATGGCGATATGCGCGGTCCTGTAATCTGTATCTTGTGGCTTGGGCAAAATGATGAGACAAAGAGGAACTCCCGGTGCCTCATACGTACTGTGAGCAAGGCTGACCCCCCTTTCACGTCGGCAGTCCCAGAGTGAGATGACAGTTTTTCTGAGAAAGACAACAAATCGGCCTTTACGAAGGACGCAAATGCGATGGATATGTTCAGTCTCCGGGATGATGCTCCGGCGACTGAAATCAAGAGGGCCGTGTGAGGACCCAACTGGATTCGCGGGCGAATGTTCCCAGACAATGGTCTCGCCATCACTTGTTCTCGATACCACAGCTCGACCACTAAAATTGCGCACTATTTTCCTGATCGAAGCAGAATGTCCGGACCACACTGAATGGAGTAGCAATCGCTTATCATTGGCCGTGGGATCAAATAAATCTGCTGCACTGCATTCAAAAATAGCTATCCTGCCGTCGAAAATGTGCAGCAGTATCCGCAGCTGTCCAGTTTTCCGATTGCAGTACGTCTCGATTTGTACATGCGAGACGTCATCCGGGTGTAAAAGGCTAGATAGATCCTCTAACCCTGGTGATATTGTTTGAGCAATGTTGAAAATTTGGCGGTCGTCGGTCGAGGTGCTACCGACATTTTCTAGAGCCCAAGCCGTCAAAAACCCGGATCGGTTCATGGCGAGGCATATCTCGGGGCTCCGATTTGCAATAGCTACCAAATGGTCTAGTGCCACGTCGTCGGTACTGCTATCATCTGCCATCCGTTGCTCGATAGCTCTCTCCACGGAAGCAGTGAAATCTCGCCCGTCGATGATACAGGCTAACCATGGTTCCTGCTGAGGGGAACCGTTCGGTATTGACTCTGCAATGTTGATTTTACCCCAGAGGTGCCATTGCCAGCCTTGTAGTGTGTCTGTTGGAACCCACACGCGCATGTAACCATCTAGGCAGCTCGTATACAAAACATTGCCCGTTGCTTGCTCGACGTGAAACGGTTTGCGCCATCGGATGCTTGTAACGACATCCGGGTGAGGAAGGTAGGCTACGTCGAATCGAACATCGTCGGAGCCATAAGTTAAACGGCGCCAGACCTTGGCCAAGTAATCATGATGACCGACGGATGCAATGTAACCCGAGTCGTATGACAGCGTCGCTATCTTGGCAGGGCTGGGAAGCAATTGTTCCCAGGATCGGCCTGGGTGCTCCCCTGTGGAGAACAGAGACAAATAGTTGCCAGCAACTAAGAGCTCCTCCGAACTACCCCAAGATAATGCGCATGCTGTTTCTGAGTCGTCGCGAGGGATGTCAAAGGTAAGTTGTAGGGCCCACTGCTAACATGTGAGCTCAAATAATCACAAAAGCTGGGAACTACCAAGGCGAAGTGACCTTTAAAGCATCCTCCTGTAGCCCTCCAAGTGGTTTATAGACTCGAACTTGCGTTGCCGTGCTCGTGGCTATCTTGCCCGTCAACTCGTCGATGGCTATTGCCTGTAGTGGTTCATCATTTTCATCGTATATGGTTTGAATAATGGTTTGTAGTCCGTCAAGGATGGTAAATGCATTTCCAGTAATGTATGCCTACGTCGTCACGTCAGCGTCTGGTAGAGCTCGTCCAAGGTCAAGCTTCGTTGGCCATACATTCAAGTGTAGGTTGTTCCAATAACCAATAGCCAGACCTTGAAGTCTTGACTGCGGCTTACCCGGCAGGACGACGCTCATGCTACTGGAAGAGGGAGGTCCAGCAGGCCTGCGGAAGGTTGTCCAGATTGAAGCTCGAGGGATGAAATAGCGACAAGCATGATAATGTTGAAGCTTGTAAGTGAGCACGGCCAAATGACGTTGTGGTATGGAAATTGGCAGCGGAGCTTAGCGCACTTAGCTACCTATGAGCAAGGCGCAACTGCGTCTTCTGTACACGCTCATTTAGCGCACCTCTGCGTCCCCGGACCGAGGCTGGGCTAGCCTCAAAACGGACGTCGCAAGTACTTTTGTACCGCCCAGCAGCGACACTCTGTGAGGAGTGCAGTACACACCTCAAAGGGTTCTGCTCAATTCCTATTGTACAGCCCTCTGGAACATTCGCAAAATGTCTAACCCGTCGCAGCTCTTCTTACTGGCTGATCATATAAAGCTATCGCTGCTCGAGTGGCAGCGTGCTCAAAATCTCGATCCCGACGACAACTCCCATAACAGCGACGTCTCGCGCTCGTTCGATCAGCTGCGTAATGGTATTGCTTCGCTAGAACAAGAGAGCGCTCGCCTCCAGGAAGCCGGCGATGAAGTGTTTGTCTTTCCCTCTTAGCTGCATAAATACCCATTTGCATGATTGCGATACTTGCCGCTTATCTTCTCTTTCTTACTAATCCTCACCAGGGCCTCCCAAGCCATTACTGAATCTCTTCCGGGACTGCATAAACAGTTTGACGAGTTAATATCTCAGTACCATTCGCTTGCCGGCTCATCGTCTCAAGAGCCCGGCGAAGAAGCAGATGAGCTCTCGTCATCCGCCAATCGATCTGCTCGTAAACCCAAATCCGTACGATTCAGCGAAAACCCTCCATCACCAACTCAGGAACTATTCGGCCGCTACCGCGATGACCCGAACGCCTCTTCCGAATCTCTCGGATACAGTGACAATGCCGCTGGATTATCCAACCAACAAATACACGCATATCATTCACAAATATTACAAGAGCAAGATGATCACCTTGACCGCCTAGGAGAGTCCATAGGGCGGCAGCGAGAACTCAGTATGCGAATTGGCGATGAACTAGAAAGTCACATGGCCATTTTGGAAGAGGTTGACGAAGCTACTGATCGCCACTCTAGCCGATTAGATCGAGCTAAGAAGGCTCTAGGAAGAGTTGCGAAAAGTGCTTCGGATAACAAGCAATTAGCGATTATTTTCGCTCTCATCGTTATTCTTGTGCTGCTAATCGCTATTTTGAAATGATCTTACTGCCATGTGTCACTGCTGGAGTATCATACAATATTGGCGTTGGCGTTGGCTCGGCGTTGAAGAAATCAGTTGGTCCTGAATCGTTACATACTCTGGTGTGACATTCGGGTTGCTTTTGCTATGGTACACAAACTAATCCCATAGATTACTCACATAATAATCACCATTATCAGGTTTCTTGCTTCCCATTCAGAGAGGAATTTATTTTTCACACTAGCACTATATAAATAGGTATGATAGTGGTTCTTGTTCTTGCAATCTAGAATTCGCTTCACGGTGAGCCTGTTTTGCATTTACCATGTAGCAAACCAAAGGCATATCACCGGATTACATCTCCTTCTTTGTCAATACCCTCGAGACTTTCGAGAATATCACTGCCCCCCAGCATCCCTCTTCCCCTCCCCACGATCTTCCCTTCATTACACCAGATTTCATGGAATTTCACACTCTTGTCGCTTGAAGCGACAACTATGCATCCCTCGCGAGATTTTCGATCGGGGTGTACTGTGTTTGACTTTACCAAGCATCTGGGGTAAGAGATGGCGTATAAGGCGCGAAGTTCTCCCTCCCATGGGATCGCTGCAACCTGCTTGCATTCTGGCCAGCTGAAAATGGCAATGCGGTATGGATGCTCTGGCTCTGTATATCCAAAGGTGGCAGCAATCTCGCGCCTCGTCGATGACCAGATAAGAGCCGTCACCTGAGCTGAAACTGCAATGGAAGCTAAAGCTGAGCCTGAAGTTGTATGGAAGAAGTGGATGCATTTATTATTAGACCCACCACCCGTTGCAACCAGTCCTTCGCGCCAAGGGCAAAATGCAATGGCCTTGACTGCAGCTTTGTGTATCCAACGATGCTTCTCTGATCCGGGGCCCAGCCTCCGAATCGGGGTCGACAATGGTCTTGCAGGGCGTACGTCGACTGTATCCTCCTAGTCAATAGCATGATCTCGCTTGAACGGTTGTTCTGGAGATGATGTACAGCCTCTAGTCTGGTCAACATAGCCCGCTTTGGTGCCTTCAGTTGCCAAATGCCATCCCAACCAACGCGAGCTGTTTGGGACTGACTCCTGCTTTTCGACAAGCACGCTGTCTGTATCAAAAAGACAGCATAAGTTATCGTTTCCTCCAGAGGCAAAAAGCTTCCCGTTTGGTGACCAGGCCAGACCGCATATCTGCTGGTTATGAAGTGAAACCTTGGCAATGAGATAGATTGTCCCAGGCCAGGTGTCTCGCGTCACCTCCCAGCCCATCGGCCACTCTACTACATAGTAGTATATCACGCCGGTATCATCGCCGACAATCAGATCTTCAGTCTGCACGGCAATACCGGGATTGAACGGGTTTCTAGAAGGCCTCATGGTGTTTGTCGGACGCCAGCTCACGCAAGATATTGGAAAAGGCTGTTGTACCTGGAAGCGAGGGAGACCATCATAGATGGACTTGAGCACCAAGGATCCGTCTGAACGTCCAATAGCTAGGATGCATTTACCTCCTTGAATAGAGGAGAAGGATACCGATGTCAGCCATACGTTGTGTGAAGGAGATCCATGCATGGGCCGAGGTCCAGTCCCTTCAGACCAGACATATAATACATTTCCGAGGCCGACTGCGAGCTTTTGGCAGACTGGTGAATAGGCCAAAACGGAGCAGTAAAAATCATCGCGCAGGTCCGGAGCATCGAGTACCCTTTCATGCATTAGCTTAAGCCGATTAACCTATGAGCTATCGCGGGATATCAAATACCGGAAAGGAGCCGCAGGGAGAGACCGACGGGGCAACGGGCTGTAGTTTCCTGGGTACCAACAGTTAGTAATTTCTATCTTGCTTGGTATGAACACTGCAAGTATGGCCTCACGGGGAGATTCATATGGATCGTTGTCATTATCAGCGCCTGTCCAAGAAGCATGCTCCAGGTCTGCTAACATTGACATTGTGCGAATGGGAAAATCAGGGGCAGCAGGCTGGCGGCAGGTAAAGTCCAGTACTCGGCGAATGCGGTCAATCCTTAGCGCAGATGCAACGCGGCCGTGGTAAAAATGCGAATCATCATCACGGCGGCTGGGTCTCGTTGTATTCACAGACATGGTGAAGAGACGAGCCGATGTGCTACTTCGTGCCGGTCGACGATGGTTACGATCTATTTCCGCCGTCTCTGTCCCAGGAGCCAGGCCGCCTACTATCCATACATTGCCTTGGCTTGGCAGTCTCGTGGTCGAGTAGATGCTTGAAGAAGGGCTCCTCGCTATTAATCTCGATCAGCAAACCAGCCTCCATAGCTCTACCTCCACCCTCCTTTTAGGGAGTTGGACAGACCTCGGCCCTGGGGCTGACCAGCCAATGGTGCGCGAGTTTCGTCGGAGACACGTGCCTGAGGGCGCTGAGGGCGCTGAGGGCGTGGAGGCGTTGAGAATGGATTCAAAGGGGCCCTCTTCCTTCTCAGCAACTTCTCGGTCGGCGAGAGGTCTTGCAAAGACTTCGTTGTCTGATACACCTGCCTGCTGGGCTCATCGCTGTCACGCCGAGGGACAAATCTGTCTGGCGTACGAAGGCCTCCACCGCCACATTTCTGTCGAAAGGGGAGCGTGCTCGTGGCATCTTTGCTACTGGGCACCAGATTCAACTGCTGCGGCTTCCATGCAAGAGATGGGCGATGAAGTGCTAGGCCCGAATGCGAGGCCTGAGATAGTTTCGGCAGTTGTTCTGGTGTAGCGCATGTAGCCTCTTCCTCGGATCTCTCAGCTGATGTTCCCGGGCTATGATGTGATCCAATTTCATGCTCATCATTATGCGAAACAAAACTGTCCCTGGAGTGAGGTGGCGAGATTGGCGAGTCTGCAGAACCTCCGTCTATTGACCCATATCCAGAGTCAGATCTGGGAAATAGGCAGGTGACATTTGTTGGATTCTGTCCTTCATGCCGAGTATAGACCGCATTATTCGTCCTTAACTCGAGGGCCGGTGAAGAAGTCATGGCCTGAGCCAAGCACTGCCGATTGGCCCACTCACTGCGGTCCTTGAATCGCTCCAGATAGGCGTAGGCGGGCTTGTGCAAATGCTGTTGCCTAATTGACGACACATGGGAGTGATTGTTGCGAATGCCCTCGGCAGCAAGGAACTAGCTCACTGAATACCTAGCAGTTAATTCCGTAATAATACAAGACTGTGTGATGCTCTGATCGCCCAGTCGACCACCAGTTAATTCAGCATTGCAGCCACGAGAGCTACAAATACCTTACCTTGATACTTGGTGGGGGAATGGTTATAGGGAGAGGGGAGAGAAGCCTTACGGCCAAGGAGAAACATGGTTGTTGCTGGCAAGATAGAGGTAGGCATACTGTATGCTCTTCTTGCCCGCTTCGACAACCAATGTTGCATCACATGTGCTGTTGCTCAATTCTGTCGTTGACGACTGCCGCACAAGCGCTTTCCCTTTGAGATATCATCTCAGAGTCGTAGGTATACGCTTGTAATGTTAGTGTCTGGTGTTTTATGCTAGCTGAGAACGGGAAGGTAAGTGGTTGCAGATGGATACAAGCACATGTATAAGGTTCTAGGGCCAGTAGGTAGGTAGGTATGTAGCATTAGGATCTGGGCACGCGTGAGAGCAGAGATGTCTGGTGCTTACTACCTGGACTATTACCTCTTACAGTACTGCTACCAAGATATCCAGGTAGGCACCTTGGCAACTTTGGCAGGCTGATACGTGCTCGTCACTAGTACTCAATTCCACCATTTACTGCTCGGACGGTGGTGTAGTCCGTCATCAGAAGAACGTAGACTCTATGAACAGAGTGGACGTGATTCCATCAACTACATGTACCCAATATGATTATCTACTTAGGTATAGAGAATAGATAGCAACAGGTGGTATAGTAGTAGCGATAGTGCCACCACCACCACTGCCATCACCACCACCATCATCATTGCTACTACCTACTAATAATATGTAGGCTGTATAGGTACCTACCCAGGTAGGTAGGTTGCCAGTTTCTCAGCAATGGGTTAAATGCTAGGCCCATGTGGTGATTGCAGGGTTGCATAACGGCTATTTAGCTCACCACTTGAGGGCTATATTAATGTGTAAGAGCATAATGTTTACCTTAATTACTAGCTTATATCGCATTCTAATTCGCGCCGGCCGCCACTTGTACTTCCGCCTGACGCAGGCAAGCAACTCCTTTGACGACGACGATTCCCCATTTGGTAGGTAACAGCAATTTAGCCAGACTACCGCCTGTCAGTTATTAAATCACGTAGCTCAATCGGCCCCTTTAGGCTGGGTCATCCTCTGTGCTCCCCCATTCCCATACAAGCGCTTGCCAGGACTTGATAGCTAAAAAGGACCAGGTGCTGTTTCACTTCCCCCACCATACAGTAATACGTTTGCTGGGCTCCCTGTAAAAGCCAGAGGCCATCCTGAGTATTGATGCCTTCCAGGGCCACCAAGCTTGTTGCAAGGCATTAAATCGGCATGAAAACAAGCACCTACGCGCCTAGCAGCAGCGGCAGCAGCGGCAGCAGCAGCTGTAGTGGAACGTCTAAGCGGTTTAGGCATATAGGTACCTAGTAATGCCAACCTATAGTGCCGCATCTGGGTCCGGCACATGTCGTGAAATTCCCCCACATAGGTCTTTTGTTAAGGCGCCTATTCCCATAGCTATTCACAGAGATGCTCCAGGCGCTGTCTCTACCTTCCTGCAGAGCTCCCCATGGAGCTACTGTGAGGAAATCACGTTGACTGCGACCTAAAGTCCTTCCTCCTTCTTCGCAGGCGCCCGCTCAGATTTCTCCCCCACGTAGCTGCATCGGCTGCTTCCTCTCCGGGGTATAGCAGAAACAGCACTTGAGCACCTTTGATAAGGCTACTAACGTAAGCCTATAGACTGCCTCTATACAAGATGGGAACCTGCGGCAGGGGTCTGGTTCCTTAGCCTCGGGGCCTTATCCAGGCAGGTCTCGAGTGCCCTTTTATCTCCTGCCGAAAAGGGAAAACTGGCGGCGCCCTGGCGCGGCTTGAACGAACCTCATCTACTTGTACTTGCAGTATGGCGGCGGTGGACCCATGGCTGATGGATCACGCTCACGCTCACGCTTGAGAGGATAACGGAGCGGCGGAAGGGGCAGCGGCGAGTATCAGAGGTCACAATACCACGTTGTAGGCGAGTCAATCTTGGGGATTCTCGCTGCGCTCGCGAATCGCGATGAGTCCTATGTGAAGATGCACATCATGGCGGCTGCAAGGCGCATCATCAGATGCACAGGCAAGGCAAGGCAATCGGCATCTGCAGCTGGCAGCAGATCAGGCGCATGGGCAGCCTCTCGCAAGCTGTGACTTCTTGGAATGGGCTGGCGCTGGGATCTGGGCCCCTGAGACATTCCCTTTCCCCCGGAAGTCGGGTGTCCTCTACTACAACTACAGTATAAGCATATCGGAGAAATGCCACCACCAGCAACGTTGCTAGACTTGGCGAGGTGCGGCATAGTTCAGTGATATTGCGCCGGGGCATCCCCTGGATATGCTTATCTTCTGAATCTGGGGAACTTGGGAATTCTACGAGTCGACAGCCGCCGAGCCCTGGGCACGGGACAGGGGCCACAAGCTCTTGCACGATGGCACTATTCTAGAGCAGAAGTGAGCATAACGTTGCGATTGACCATGTTGGCAAAGCATGGGTTACATACCTACTCGTGCTAAGAACCCCGAAAGGGAAGCTTCATAAGTTGACTTCAGATTTCGCTGAACAATAGGAGGCTCCACAATCACTTATAAATATGCTGCATATCCTTCCAGCACTTCGGATGAAAATTCCATCCAGCAGCAGCAACTTGGAGAGCTCTTTTCAGCAGCAACTTCTTCCTTTCAAAGCATTTCTTGACAACCTTTGCTGAATCTCAAACACTTCACCATGTTGGGCTTCCTCGGAAAATCCGTGGCCCTGCTTGCTGCGCTGCAGGCCACTCTCATTTCTGCATCTCCTGTAACTGCAAACGACGTCTCTGTTGAGAAGAGAGCCAGTGGATACGCAAACGCCGTCTACTTCACCAACTGGTAAGTGAAGCTGCTTCAGAGTCATGAAAATCAGGACTAACCATTGGTGATTAAAGGGGTATTTACGGCCGCAACTTCCAGCCTCAGAACCTGGTCGCGTCGGACATCACTCATGTCATCTACTCGTTCATGAACTTCCAAGCAGACGGCACTGTGTAAGTTTTGAAGACAAGAGTCAAGATATTCTAATTTCCATATCCAGTGACTAATCTTTTCACTTATAGCGTCTCTGGAGATGCCTACGCCGATTATCAGAAGCACTATGACGACGATTGTATGCTAGCCCTACTCCCTTTGTTCTCTCCTGTTTTTGAGCTCTTCAGGTATACTAACGTCTACAACAGCTTGGAACGACGTCGGTAACAATGCGTACGGCTGTGTGAAGCAGCTGTTCAAGCTGAAGAAGGCCAACCGCAACTTGAAGGTTATGCTTTCCATCGGTGGCTGGACCTGGTCCACCAACTTTCCTTCTGCAGCAAGCACCGATGCCAACCGCAAGAACTTTGCCAAGACTGCCATCACCTTCATGAAGGACTGGGGTTTCGATGGTATTGACGTCGATTGGGAGTACCCCGCCGATGATACCCAGGCCACCAACATGGTTCTTCTGCTCAAGGAGATCCGATCTCAGCTAGATGCCTATGCTGCGCAATACGCTCCGGGCTACCACTTCCTTCTTTCCATTGCTGCCCCCGCTGGCCCAGAGCACTACTCTTTCCTGCACATGTCCGACCTTGGCCAAGTTCTCGACTATGTCAACCTCATGGCCTACGACTATGCTGGTTCTTGGAGCAGCTACTCCGGACACGATGCCAACTTGTTTGCCAACCCGTCCAACCCCAACTCTTCACCATACAACACCGATCAAGCTATCAAGGACTATATCAAGGGAGGTGTTCCCGCAAGCAAGATCGTTCTTGGCATGCCCATCTACGGACGAGCTTTTGAGAGCACCGGTGGCATTGGCCAGACCTACAGTGGAATTGGATCTGGAAGCTGGGAGAACGGTATTTGGGACTACAAGGTTCTTCCCAAGGCCGGCGCCACAGTCCAGTATGACTCTGTCGCACAGGCATACTACAGCTATGACCCCAGCAGCAAGGAGCTCATCTCTTTCGATACCCCTGACATGATCAACACCAAGGTCTCTTACCTCAAGAACCTCGGCCTGGGAGGCAGCATGTTCTGGGAAGCTTCTGCTGACAAGACTGGCTCTGACTCCTTGATCGGAACAAGCCACAGAGCTTTGGGAAGCCTAGACTCCACTCAGAACTTGCTGAGCTACCCCAACTCCCAGTATGATAACATCCGAAGCGGTCTCAACTAGAGATCTTTCTTCTTCTTATCTTTTTCTTTTACTTCCCCTATGGTTGTACCAACATTTCACACACGTTATGCGAAACGATTATGCAGGGAGCGTTATTTTTTAGTAAATAGTTGCCCTTTGAGATATATGAACCTGTACATAAAGAACTACTAGCAGTATATAAGGAGACATGCAGGATCTCTAGAATTGACTTCCATGCTTTCCTCAGTCATGATTTCCCGAAATATCTTTAACATGCAAAGCAGTGGAATTTAGTGCTGTCTTTGAAATTGAAAAATCGTAGTTTGTTTTCTGTTAGGTGTTTACAGTATGTAGGAAATCGTTACTATACCTAGGTAGGCAGTAAAGCAATGGAAGCGATGTCATTTTCAAAAGCTGACGATGGTAGTATCTTTGCACTTGAATTTACCCCAATCATTAAATCTTCGTATAAAGAAAAAAGACCGAAAAAAAAAAAAAAAACCTGATACAGGGGCTTTGTCGACTTCATGTATCTGATGGTTTCTAGCTTTGCTGTGACTTGAATTTTGATGTGTCGTGGTTGTTCCTAGTACTTACAATTGCCCAAGTTACAGGTGGTGAGACAAGGTACCGAGCACTTTTTGTCGCGCTAGCAATGGGTTGTTTGCCAGCATGATTAGCGCTTGCACGTGACTCGCATTGCAACAGTCACGACGCGGTATCACTTTGCGCCAACGTGAGCGAGTCTCAATTGCTTTTGGCCCAAGGGTGCCCGTCACACTGCGACTTCAGCCCAAAATGCAGTCACAATACCGCGCGTATGCCCAGCAGGCACCACAGCGGTCGCCGCATCCTCCAAACCAGCGGCGGGGAGGGATTGGTATGATTTTCCAAGCCCAGACGCCAAAATCGCATTTCGTCTAACCAGCCCAGGACCCATGATGTCGTCTGGACCGCATCCTTCTGTTCCTCTGACACAGGCGCAGATTGCGCAACAACAACAAGCACAGGCCCACGCTAGCGAATTGGCGAAGCGAAGGAGCCGCAAGCCGACAGACAAGAATATTCCCGATGGCGTGGAGGATTGTATCATCGATCCCGATGGTGTCAAGCGATATGTCGAGTTGAGAGAGATTGAGAGGTTGATTGACGCTACAATAACGCGAAAGAGACTGGATGTGCTTGATGATGCAAAGCGAAGCTCAAAGGTCGCCATTTTTCCCGATCTTCGCTGTTTGTTTCGAACGTTGTGCAGTCTAACTGACACTTTCTTAGTTGCGGAAAACGCTGCGAATCTGGATTAGCAACACTACCGAAGATCAGATCTGGCAGGGAGAGAGTCTCAATGCGGATTCCTTTGACTTCACTCCGGCTATGGAGGCATCCTACCGCGTGAAGATCGAGGGTTACCTTTTAGATGAAGACGATAGCACGGTCGACCAACCGAAGAGCGATCGGCCAGAGGACAAACCCGCCGGCACAGAGACGAATCAAAAGAAGCACCGATTTTCGCACTTCTTCCAATCCATTTCTATAGATTTTGACCACTCCCGGTTCCGGAATGGTGCTGAACACACGGTAGAATGGAGGAGACCAGAAGGCTCGCAAAACCAAGCAGCCTCTGCTGCGTCAGCCGATGGCGACTTTGACGAATTTACTTTTAAGCGTAATGGCGACGAGAATATCAACATCACGGTCAAGCTACAGAGACACGAGTCGCCCGAGCGATACCAGCTAAGCCCTGAGCTGGCGCAAGTCGTTGATATGACCGAAGCGACGCAACACGAGGCTGTTATGGCCCTATGGGAATATATAAGGCTCTCAGGGCTGCAAGAGGATGAAGAAAGACGCAACTTTCGATGCGACCCCTATTTGAAAAAGGTTAGTATTTGCGCCTTCTTCTAACATTCCTTTTTGCGTTTACTAAATGATCTTAGGTCATTGGACGAGATTCTGGTATTATACCAATGCTCAGTGAATACGTTATGCCACACCTTCGCCCCTTGCCTCCAATATCTCTCCAATACACAATTCGAGTGGACGAGGAGTTTCACAGAAATCCCCAGCCTACTGTCTATGACGTCCAGGTATTGGTGGAGGATCCAGCCAAGTCCAACTTGCGCCCGATATTGAATAACCCCCAATACGCATCCACATTGAAGCAGGTTACCGCGCTAGATGAGCAGCTGGCAAGGCTTGTGCAAGCAATTTCCATGTCCAAAGCCAAGCATTCATTCTTCACATCGCTGAGCGAAGACCCAGCTAACTTTGTTAAGAGCTGGCTCAGCTCACAAAAACGAGACCTTGAGATCATCATGGGAGAAGCAGCAAGCGATGCTGAAAACGTTGCTGGGGATGAATGGCGGCGGGGCGGGAACAACAGTGTGTGGAACAGCCAGAACGCCAGGGAGAGTGTCAACGTTTTACTCTCCAGGCAACGATGAGACGCTCCTTCTTCAACGTTGTGTAATGATTCAAGATGGAAATGGACGTCATCGTAGATGCGTGGGATGAGAAATGAGAAAAGGAAAGGAGAGAAAGAAGAGAAAGGAGGGGAGGGGGAAGTGAAAGTCATCACAGCAGCAAGTCATGATCTGTTGCTACGATTTAGATAAAGGGGCCACCTGGCGTGTGGAATTTATCCAGCGAACTTATTGCCTGCACTCTGAATCAATTTGTAATATTATCTTTCATAATGGCATGCCTTGACCCGCAGATGATTTGATGTGGCCCTTAACTCCACGGTATTAATAAACTCCAATACAAAATGAGGACTGAGAGCAGAATTTAAAAAAAAAAAAAAAAAAAAAAAAAAGTTAAAAGGATGGCCAGCAAGACGCGCAATGACGACACTTCTAACTATGCGCGCTCTTTCAACGAAACGCGATGATCTATGATGCGCTAACGGAGCGTTGAGAGACCACAGGGGTCGATGGCATATTACGAATTTGCTTAATCAAAAATTCTCGTTCATCAATAAATTGTTCGTCATCAGTTCGATCCTCGAGGAAATGCGCTAGGAAGGTCAAAAGTTTCTCGCGGTTCATGAGCAATATCTTTTGAACGGCGATGGATTTATGAGGATTCGCAACGAACACCTTGAACACGTGGAATCCTTCGTACTGGACCATTTTCCTGTCGTCTCGGAGAAGGTTCATGCATATTTTCAGGTGCTCGCCGCTGTCGACGTACGCCGTCATGACGCTGTAGTTGGACCGGTCCAGCAGGAGTTCGCCAAGGAGTTTGATAGACTGTCGTTTGGTGACATAGCTGTTCGACTGCACTAGGGTGTTGTTGTATTTATCAAAGAAGAGGTCGAAGTTGGTGGAGAGATATTTCGGAATCAAGTCCTTGTGCCGCGTCAAGAGCTCCTATTCCATAGTTAGATCATTCTGTTGTTCATGTATGTTGTAGCATGAATATTCCCCACCCGAAAGGTCGTAAAGGCATCCGCAGCAACTTCAAAGGAGCTCTTGTTGATCCAGTCGAAAAATCTCCAGAAGACGCCGCGGCCGCTCTGGGGTCGGTTGCGGTCAATAGCGGCGAGTCCCTTGCAGCTGGATCCCGGTTCATCGCCGTCGTCGTATAGGATGATGGCCGCCGCAGCTTCGTTTTTGAGAAGCTCTCGAAGGACCGATCCCGCGGGAGTGGCGCTCTCTTTGTGGTCGTAGGCGCGACAGAGCTCGACTAGAACTTGTGGCCTGTTGCACACCACGTATGATAGAGCGATGGGGTCGCTTTTTGGAGCTGCCGCCGCGGGCCGGAAGCGAAACACATAGGAGAAGATGACTTGGGTATCCTTTCGCGATTCAAACGGTAGGCGATAGAGGTTGGTGGCGAGGAGGAGGAGCAGGTCCTCGTCTATCAAAGCGGTGACGAGCTGATAGATCTGCTCGGGTGAGCTCTCAGTTTCTTAAGCTAGTGTTAATGCACCCAGATGGCTAGGCTGAGGACAAGTGGGATGGAAGAGAGGGGGTCATCAATTCCAGGGAGCGAGTACCTTGAGTGCCTTGGAGAGCGACCTTCATCTGGTTGAGCACGCGAGCAAGCTCTTCGGCCTGGTCGCGGTCGCGTTAGAAGCAGCGCCTCGGCCGTCGTGGGAAATCTGCTGCGTACCTTGGAGACCCCGTTAGGGCTTTCAAGCTTGAGGATATGCTCTCGGGCTTGCCTAGGGAGATCGGCCGCAGCCCGCGATCTGCCTCTCCCGAACAAGAAAGACATGGTTGGGGTGGTACGGCTGTGAACTGGCGAGGGTCTGGTCGTCTCTCTCTCTATTTGTCTAAACAGTTGCCTCTAGACATAACCCTCCGTCTCACATCGGCCGCCTAGAAGCCCTGCCGGAGGCGCGATTCGTGATCCGCTTGCTCTGTTTCCAGGGCGCTCCGCCCAAGGTGACAAGCTGTGAATAGGGATGCCAACTGAGATGCGTCAGCGCGCCTCTGCTCTGCGTATACGAAGTACATGCACCGGATTTCGGCCTATCAGGTGCATCGAGCACAGTGCACAGTGGTGCTCTACAAGGCTTAGACTCCGCAGCTTATGCTGCTGTTCTCGTATTAGTGCTCAGACTTTATGGCCTCTGGAAGGGCATTTTAGTGACCACTCACCCCACTTACCCTCTGAGGAATAATGAGGGGCTGTTACAAAGCCCCTCCATTTGAACTTTTGACTCACCCGGGCCGAAATTCAAACCTTGTGAGTCTTGGGTTGTTGATAATCTTCCCTTCCGTTTGACAAATTTCGGGTTCTCTCCCTCATCCATCCAGTTTGTCTATTGGCGAGAGAGAGAGACACGAGCATCATGTCTATCGATTTTCCCAAGGAAGAGGAGATTGTCCTCGAGCGATGGCGCTCCATCAACGCCTTCCATCGTCAGGTATGTCAATGTAGAATTTGTTTTCTGCTGCTTGAGGCGCATTGTGACTGACAAATCCTAAAGCTCGAATTGTCTGCTGGTCGCCAACCTTACACCTTTTATGACGGCCCTCCATTCGCTACAGGCCTTCCTCATTATGGCCATCTGCTGGCGTCCACCATCAAGGACATCATCCCTCGATACTGGTCCATGAAGGGCTACCACGTCGAGCGAAGATTTGGATGGGATACCCATGGACTCCCTATTGAACATGAGATCGACAAGAAGCTGGGTATCTCCGGAAAAGCCGCTGTGGAGAAGTTTGGAATTGCAAAGTACAACGAGGAGTGCCGCGCCATTGTCATGCGCTACGCTGCGGAATGGAGGACTACGATTGAGCGCCTCGGACGTTGGATTGACTTTGACAATGATTACAAGGTCAGGCGATCTTTAAACTCTATCCCTCTCTGATTTTGTAGTCTACGAGGACTATTACTAATGTACTGTTACAGACCATGGACCCGAAATTCATGGAATCGCTGTGGTGGGTATTCAAGCAGCTCCACGACAAAGAGCAGGTGTATCAGGGTGCCCGAGTTATGCCTTACTCTACGGTGTTGACGACTGCCCTGAGTAACTTCGAAGCCAACCAAAATTACCAAGACGTTACGGATCCCGCGGTTGTCGTGTCATTCCCACTGCTAGATGACCCGGACACTCATCTCTTGGCATGGACAACCACCCCCTGGACACTGCCAATGCACCTTGGCCTGGCAGCGCATCCCGACTTTGAATATCTCAAGATCAAGGATGGCAAGTCTGGAAAGACCTACATCATCCTCGAGAATTTGCTCGGAACTCTGTACAAGGACCCCAAGAAGGCCGACTTCAAGAAAATTGGTACAGTCAAGGGATCGGAAATGCTCGGGTGGAAATATGAGCCATTGTTTGACTACTTCTATGAAGAATTCAAAGATGTTGGATTCAGAGTCCTGAATGCAACCTACGTCACCTCGGACAGCGGTGTGGGAGTTGTTCACCAAGCCCCAGCTTTCGGTGAGGACGATTACAATGTGGCTATAGAGAACGGCATCATCAACGAAAACCGCCCTCCTCCTGATCCGGTCAACGAAACTGGACACTTTACTGATCGGGTTCCCGAATTCGCTGGCATGCACGTCAAGGAGGCCGACAAGCACATTATCAAGCACCTCAAGAAGACCGGGCGATTGGTTGTTGAATCTCAACTTCGCCACTCTTACCCCATGTGCCCCCGTTCTGATACTCCCCTTATCTACAGAGCCGTGCCTTCCTGGTTCATTCGTATTCCAGAAATCATCCCAAGCATGCTTAAGAACATTGAAGACTCTCACTGGGTTCCATCATTTGTCAAGGAGCGTCGTTTTGCCAGCTGGATTCAAAATGCTAGAGATTGGAATGTTGGGAGAAACCGATACTGGGGAACTCCCATTCCGCTCTGGGTTTCCGATGATATGGAGGAGCGCGTCTGTGTGGGAAGCATCGAGGAACTTCGAGAGCTCAGTGGCTACACCGGAGACCTGTCCGATATTCACCGAGACAAGATTGACCACATCACTATTCCCAGCAAGAAGGGTAAGGGTACCCTGAAGCGTGTTACAGAGGTCTTTGACTGTTGGTTCGAGTCTGGCAGCATGCCCTATGCTAGCCAACACTATCCTTTTGAGAATGTTGAGAAATTCAAGAACTCGTTCCCTGGTGACTTCATTGCTGAGGGTCTAGATCAGACACGAGGCTGGTTCTATACTCTATTGGTTCTGGGAACACACTTGTTCGGTACTTCGCCTTTCAAGAACTGTGTGGTGAATGGTATCGTTCTGGCAGAGGACGGAAAGAAGATGTCAAAAAGACTGAAGAACTACCCAGACCCAGGTCTGGTGATGCAGAAGTTCGGATCGGATGCCCTGCGGCTCTACCTTATCAACTCCCCTGTCGTGCGAGCAGAGCCACTGCGATTCAAGGAGAGTGGAGTGAGAGAAGTTGTCCAAAAGGTACTTCTGCCACTTTGGAACAGCTACAAGTTCTTTGAAGGCCAAGTTGCACTTTTGAAGAAGGTTGAGGGCGTTGACTACATGTGGAACGTTGGATTGGAGACTACAAACACAAATGTGATGGACAAGTGGATCCTGGCCAGCTGCCAGAGTCTGCTGCAATTTGTCAACGAAGAGATGAAAGGTACGTGATTGAATGCTACGAGGCTTATATCCCCTATTACTTCCAGTGTTATAAAGCCAGGGCTAACACCCATTCAAGGATACCGATTGTACACTGTGGTGCCTCGACTTCTTGAGCTCATTGATAACACGACCAACTGGTACATCAGATTCAACCGACGTAGGTTGAAGGGAGAGAATGGACTGAATGATACCCTGCATGCGCTCAACGCTTTGTTTGATGTTCTCTTCACTTTGTGCAGAGGACTGGCTCCCTTCACCCCTTTCCTGTCCGATACCATCTACCAGAAGCTCCTCCCACATATTCCGAAGGAGTTGCAGGCCGAGGACCCTCGAAGTGTTCACTTCCTGCCTTTCCCGGAAGTCAAGGAAGAGCTATTCGACGCCGAAGTTGAGCGACGTGTATCAAGAATGCAGCGGGTCATCGAGCTGGCTCGTGTCTCCCGTGAGCGCAGAACCATTGGTCTCAAGACACCACTTCGAACCTTGGTTGTCATCCACCATGACAACCAGTACCTTGAGGATATCAAGTCACTTGAATCCTACATCACTGAAGAATTGAATGTTCGAGATTTGGTGCTCTCTTCGGATGAGGCCAAGTACAATGTCCAGTATAGCGTGACCGCTGATTGGCCCGTTCTTGGTAAGAAGCTCAAGAAGGACATGGCTCGAGTCAAGAAGGCCTTGCCTACCTTGACTAGCGAGCAAGCCCAGAGCTATCTCAATGACAAGAAGATCCTTGTTGATGGCATCCCCTTGGAAGAAGGCGACCTTGTTGTGCGCAGAAGTGTAAAGGAGGATGAGGCCTCCAAGAAGCTGGAAATCAACACGGATGGCGCATTATTAACCATTTTGGATTCTGAGATATACCCGGAGCTGGCCCAAGAAGGATTGGCCAGAGAGATTGTCAACCGAGTGCAGCGTCTGCGCAAGAAGGCAGGCCTGCAACCCACTGATGATGTCAAGATGGAGTACCAGGTTGTGTCTGACCCTGAGAACCTTGGACTGGCAGATGTGATGGTATCACAGACAGCTACTTTTGAGAAGGTGCTTCGACGACCTGTGGAGAAGCGCGAGGAGGGGGCTACTGGCGAGCTCATTGCGGAAGAAGAGCAAGAGATTCAACAGGCCATTCTGTTGCTTCGTCTTGTAAAATTGTAAAAGAGAGGCTGAGATTTAGAGCTCATTGTACTCAAAATTAGAGTGAGATTTAAACAAATAAACAATAAATTAATAAAAAATTCTTGCCAAATACAACTGTACGCAATCAATTAATTAAAAGGAAAATATTACTATCATGATTACACTTTTTTCATTGCTGCCTATTATTTGTGAAGAAGTCTTGTTAGTCTCATAGGCTCAAGAAGAGGGGAAAAAAAAGCTATAGGGTGAAGAAGACTGGATAATATCTAACCAGATAGCAATCTTTTAATCTCAGAAATTCCCGAGCACACTTGTCCTTGGTCACGTCGTTATAATCTGCTACGATGCATTTCCCGTATGCCGTCGCCTATTGAGAGCAAATGTCTTTAGTTAGTATCAGCCAACATCGGCAAAATACAAATCAACTTTTCTAAACGCACCTCTACAGCGCATTGAGCAACGGCCGTTGAGACTTTCTGGATCGGGCGGCGGGTGGTTTGAGGATTCATTTTCTGTTGCTTTTGTGCTGCGTGGAACAAGGGCAGTTTGGGTACTGTTGGTTGAGAGTAGAGTTTTTTTTGAGCCTTGGAGGAGGTACAGCGATCGTAACAGTGAGTGGTGGAAGCTCAACTAGCGCTGTGGGGAAGCTGGTGATGCTGAGATTGTTTTTGCTACGAGTGGCATGAAGCTCGTTCAATGTAAGCGATTTGGAATCTTTTTAGATCTCCCATAATTTGAAGTGAGATAAAACGCCAATAAACAACAAAAGATATCATTGAAATCTTTTAAAGAAACTGCCACGCACACTCATGAGGAACCATGAAATGGTGTGCTATTCCAGCACTGTGGGTATTTACTGTATAGGTAGCCTTTTTGCTATTCTTTTATGGCTTCATTAATCTATCCTATGCTTGAATGCTTGAAACGCGATTAAGTCTAGCTATCCACTTTGAGCCAAGTTTCTTGAACTGTTATTACGGTGCTCTCTGGCAAGGATTCCGGGAAACATCATGGGATCGTTCCCAGATACGTGGCTATCAGGCAGAAGTGGCTCCCCGGTATGAGCCTCGATAGATGGCGCATTTTCTGGGATTGCATCCATATGCTCGGCCACTGAATGCGCCACTGAAGAAGTAGGCTTCTTGTTTTCCTGAGCCTCTAGTCCCTGAACGCTTGCTGCCATGCTGTTTGATACCATTTCATTGAATGCGAGATACCGGGTCAAACTGAATTTCGAGTTAGTATATATGCATAAGTGAAAAAATAAGACGGCAGGAAATAAGGGCATAGGGGATAATGATTGCTTACACGTCTCTTTCCTGCACGAGCGTATGGTATCGGAACTCTTCTCTGCGATCGGGCACGTTTGTCTTTACCATCTTGTTTCCCTCTTTGCCAGGCTTTTCAAAATCTTGACCCAGCCACTGCTGCTTGATGGCCTTCTCATAACCGCTCTGCTTCACCGAATTCTTTGCCAACTCGCACATATCGACGGGGCTCAACTTGTAAATCTGCGCAGCCACGGCATATTCCTCTATCAAAGGCTCCTTGGTAAACGCAAATTGCAGCGGATCATCCGTGGATAACGAGACATTTAGGCCCCGTCTGAAATACTGGTGGAAAGGGTTTCGTTCGTAGGCCAAGAACAAGGCGTTATTACTCAGCGGCGACATTGCGATACCAATTTGATCCAAATAGAAGATATATTGTAGCAGGGGAACTTTCCGCAGCAACAACCCGTGACTAATACTGTGGCAGCACAGTGCCGCCACAGCCAAGTGCTCGCTATCGCCCGCCTCTCCGCAATGAGGTCGCAAGACGAACGTATTGTAACCGCGACTCTTTCGGAAGTGATTCAAAGAGGTCATATTAGCAAACAAGAAGTAGATCCAGTAGCTATACGGAGGGTTCTGCTTCGTATCCCAGGCTCTGGGAACCGGAAACTTCCTGAAGAGCCGTCTTTCGGTTTTGCTTTCGTCGTCCACGCTGTCGAAGCCAATGACTCGCTGAAGAAATATGTGTAGCTTGGGATGAGAAGCTGGATCTCTTGTGACTTCGAACAGAGGTTGAAACACATTTTTGATGACTTGCTCAAACGTATCCATTAAACCGCTGGCCTTGTAGATGTCGTAGAGGCGAGGGATCTGGACCAGCCAGCGAACATTGTGGGAAAAGAGCTTGTTATCCACGACCCATGCCGCGAGCTTATCCCATTCGTCTATAGACTTGCCGTAGATGGATATGCGCCACTCCACCATCTGATATTTGCTGGACTCCAGGTCAGAGATGACTTCTTTGGTAATCTCAGCCAAGTAGCGTCCATGGATGAAATTGTCCGTCTTAAGAAATATTGTCCTGAGGCGCGACTCGCCGATAGGGTTGTATTTGAGATTGAATTTATCAAAACGATGAAACGAGTCGGTATGCGCCTGTTTGGTTAGCATTCTGTTGTGCTAGGGAGTCTGTGTGGGTTACATGAGCCGCAACTTACATGCATGTCAAGCGTGTCTATACTCAAATCATACGCTGTTAGGTTGATACTGGCAAATACCTCTGCCAAAGTGAGATGCTTTCCATCTCTGAAGAGCACAACTTCGTTTGGGTATTTCTTCATTTTACTCTTGATAAATCGCAAGAGATGCTTCTGGTTCATACAAGCAGAGTGGTGAACGTGCGTATCCACCTTTCTGACATTGTAGAAGTCTCGATGTGGTACCTTTTTGCTGTCCGCAGTCTCTTGGTATTCATTAAGGAGAACATAGAGATTGAATTTTCCTTCCAGATACTGAAGCCGCCGGAAAGCAAAGCTTTTGCTTGGACCATCAGACGAAACTGCGAGAATTTCTTCCAAGTCCATGTAGAATTCTCTGATAGTAGGTACTCTTATAGCAGGGGCTTTGCTGGTCGAATTGTCAAAAACCTGATAAATGCCTTCACTGTCGAGCTCAAAAGTCATGCCGCCACTTTCTGGCAAGGGTAGCAAATCTTCCAAGCAGAAGTCATCTCCAACATCTTGACCGGGCTTTCTCTTCCGAGTTGGCCTTTTTCGTTCCTGAGCATTGGCAGAAGAGCCTTCAGTGCCATGGCCATGACCATGGCCATGACTTTGAATCCATGCAGGATCGGGAGGAGGCGGATATATGTCCCAGCTAGGGTCATCTCTAGGATTGTCATTTGGTCCTTGAGCCGAAAGAGCGATATACTTGCGTCTCACGTCAAGTATTCCATGTATTTGCTTGGCAATAGCACTGAGCTCAGCTGTTATGTGAGGCTCAGTATCAAATAGACCATTCCCCGGCAAGCCAACAGAAGGCTCATTGGCAAGTCTTGCGTCGTTGAAGGCCTGACTGGTGGGGTCACTGGGCTTAGTATACGACACATTAGACGGGCCTGTCGACCCAAAGAGACTGGCAGGGGTGTCTACGATTTCTGGCTTGTCTAGCACTTTAGTTAGCAATCCGCTTTTGGTATATTTCGTGGGCGGATTGACTAATCACCATCGGTGTCGAGGACTAGGGAATCGAGCCCGTACTCGGTGGCCGGGTATGAGCCTGAAGGAATTTGTGGACTTCCAAAGGGAGTTGACTGCGGCCATGGAGAATTTCCACTCCGCGTATCAATCTTGCTTCTCTGATAGAATAGTTTTGCATCCGTTTGGGTCATCTGGAGCTCTGCAACTGGATCATAAAAGGTCGTGCGCTCTGGGAGATCGCGCAGCAGCATTCCATCTTGGAGAGATTCCTCGTGGTTCGCGAGTGGCTCTTCATGCTCTTCATGCTCTTCAGGGTCGATCAAGCCGGTAGTAGCCGGGCTCTGTATAGCTTCGTCGTCGCCTTCATCCCTAGTACGTACTGGGAGTGACATGCTGCCACTGTATAATGCGTGGTCTAAAGGAGAGCGATTAGGAACAGCGATTATTGGAGTTTAAGCAAGCAAAGCGAGGACCATTAATCGTCAAAATAAGAGGGGAAAAGATCTGATGTGACGCCCGCTTTGTTAGGTGGGATAAGAATACAGCCTAATGGATGGATTCCAGCCAAGCTCGCCAGACATTCCAAGCGCACATCCCTGGTAAATACTTACCAGTCATGGCTTCAGTGTATTATCATAGTACATAAACTCTCCGGCAATGGTGGGAGAATCAGAATGCCCAAAGAGGCTCAATCAGAATCAAGAGTCCGATACTGATTATATTAAGGTTACACGGAAAGGATTAGAGCGCGGAACCGCAGCAAGGTATTTTCAGGCACAAACAAAGCGTTAGTTGGGTTAAACCTATTCCGGGTATTAGACCGTGCAGATTGGGTCTAGCGCATCGATACTTGCTTTAAGCATGCGATGGGCGACAGGCCATGGCTTGCAAGATGTTCTCCAACCAGTGTCTAGGCATTTCTTTGCAATCAATGGTACTAAGATTTAATGGTCCCAGGGAATAGGTAGATGAGATAATGAATAGAGTTGTTGAAATATGAACTACATAAGCTCCGCATTCAGTACCGATAAAGATGATGTGAAAGTTGCCTGCGTTGACCAGCAGTGTCAATGTGCTTTGCACCGATTCGCAGTCATAACTTATGCTGTAGGTTGACTCCTTGGTCCTGCAGAGCTTATGAAAGACTAATTTTATGTTCCATATAGACTCGGTCTAAGATGCCATTCCATGTCAACGGCTCGTTCGTCTATATACCATCTCTTGTGTCTAGACGAAATATGCACAATGTACACCAAAAGACTCAACTCAACAGTAAGCAATTCTAATAGCCAGTGTCAAACTTTCTTCTTTTCCTCAACCACGACAGGCTTTGCGGTAGGTTTTGGGGCCACGCTGTAGATCCCTGCGGCTCCAAATACCACAATTGCGCTAAGTAAGGTATTGACTGAGAGGGTATTGCCAAAGAGCCAGATACTTAACAAGAGGCTGATGAGTTTTCGAATGCTTAGTATTATTGTAACAGTGAGCGCCGATGCGTTTGCTGCAAGAAGATTTACGCCACGAATACAGGCATATTGGGTCAACACATTGACTGCCAGATAGGCTAGCTGAGATGGAACTCGTGTAAGTGGCAGTGATGAAGCAAATGGTATGTTTAGCTCAAGAGGAGTGCTCTTGCTGAGCTCGGCTAAATTGCGTCGCATGGAGGGCATAAAGGGCAAGAAGAGTGGTAGCGCCAAAATATGGGCATAAAAGAGGTTTTCCTTCCACTGCGGCCCATACTTGCGATATGTTGCTTCGGTATACAGGCCCATAACAGACGAGAGAACTTGAGCTACAAAGATAATCAAGAATCCGACGTTAAAGACTGGCTCAGCACTGCCTTCGCTCGTTTTCTGTTTGACTAGTTAGGGACGAATAAGAAATATAGTGATTTTCTTTGAAAGCATTTACCTTGTCCTTGGAATCTGACCAGGCGGCCAAACTGACGCCGATGCTCAGCAGAAATACTGCAAACACTTGGATCCGTGAATATGTCTTTCCGCAAAAATAGCCTGCAGCCATAGTTGTTATGCTACCCCCGGATCGTAAAATGATATGGACCGGCACGGATATGTTGTAGCTAAATGCATGATTGTTCAACACATTGATGGTAAAGAACAGCAGGATGTTGACGAGCCATCGGCGAAGCGGGACGACGTTGGGCGCAAAGAAGAATGGTGGACGCGTTTTATCGAACTGCGCTACATAGCCAGTGATGGCGATGAACAGAAATTGAACAAAGGTTATAAGCGTTCCTATGTGGCGCGGATAAGTATATGGACGTGATCAGTCTTGTAAGGAACCGGGCGTGTATTTATACCATTCGTGGGCTCGAAGCTATGCAAGTTAAATTTTGGTACTGGTAACAGGCATGGGTGAAGAGGCTTACTTGATGATTGCTTCTAGGGCGTATACCTACGGACCAGAGAGTTAGTTCACCAGAGAAGAGGCAGATGTAGGTATCAAGATGCAGCACGTACGTTGGAGCAGCATCCACCGAAGATCAGCACCGTCATTACCGCCGTAGCAAACAGAGTTGAGCCGCTGTCCACGGCGAAATGGCGGACAACATTTGCCAAGGTGGGTGATGGAGATGCCTTGTTGGATATCGACTGAGCACCCTTGGCCGGTGTCAGTTTCGGTAGAGGTTCCATTACGGCTCCGATTGCGAAATGTAGGTCATGTCGTGTCGAGGAATTGAGACTGCCGTGGACAGGTAATCAATTGCCAGGTATGAATTCGGGATATGGTACTTTGCACCTATTAGTATTAGCCTAGCTGCCAGGGATTAGAAATAAGTAATTTTTATCAAACGAACAAAAGAACCAACAAATATACAATTTAGTATATTTCGATATAACTTTTATATCAAAAATATATTACTATAGTATCAAATGTTTAATCTGAATAATTTTTTATATAATATTTCTACTATTTCTCAAAGTGTTAATTCGTCTCCTACCTCTATCAAACGTTCCTGGCCCTTTGCGGCTTAGCGCGCTTAGGTAGTTCGGTGGAGGGGTACGACCAGCATGACGGAGTGTGCTGCGACGTAAGTCGGATAGGTACCTAATTGCTTCTTTGGTGATTCTAAACCACCACAAACACCAACGATACCAGCCATAGCCTCCAAACCAATCGGCGTCCTTTTCGAGAGCTGCCGCTGACCACAAACCATCGCCGACTTCCTCAATTACTGAGACCTTTTTCGCTCTCTCAGGCGCTGAGCCCTTCAATCCGCTGCTTAAAAAGGTCCAGTTCCTACCATCAGCTACAATGCCTACAACCACCGCGGAAACACTCTCGCTGGTCACGAGAAACGTCTCCGTAGCTCCGCTAGTCCTCCTCTCCGCGGTCGACCATTACAACCGAACAGTCCAGAACAAGACCAAGAGGCGGGTTGTCGGTGTTCTTCTCGGCCAGAACGATGGAAAGAACGTGAGGGTGTCAAACAGTTTTGCAGGTACGTCGTAGACTGCGCAAGGAATCCCAAGAGATTCTCCAACCTAGAGAGGCCACGCCCTCTAATAGCTTACTTCGCCACTCAGTTCCCTTTGAGGAGGATGAAAAGGACCCTTCAGTGTGGTTCCTGGACCACAACTACGTCGAGTCGATGAATGACATGTTCAAGAAAGTGAATGCGCGCGAGAAGCTGGTGGGCTGGTACCATACCGGACCCAAGCTTCGTGCTTCTGATCTTGAGATCAACGAGCTCTTCAAACGATACACACCCAACCCCCTACTAGTCATCATTGATGTTCAGCCGAAGGAATCCGGTGTCCCTACTGACGCGTATTTTGCGGTCGAGGAAATCAAGGATGTAAGTCGTTCATATTCCAGCATCTTGAGCAGAGAAAACTAAGCTGACTCTTCCCTTCTCTATATAGGATGGCACCACCACTTCTCGAACATTTGTCCATACACCTTCGATTATCGAAGCCGAAGAGGCTGAGGAGATTGGTGTCGAGCACCTACTAAGGGATATCCGCGACGTTGCTGTGGGCACCCTGTCCACTCGCGTGACTAACCAGCTCCAGTCTCTTCAAGGACTGCATCTCCGGTTACGAGACATCGGAGCCTACCTCCAGAAAGTTCTCGACGGCCAACTCCCGGTCAACCATGCGATCCTCGGGAACCTTCAAGACGTCTTCAACCTTCTCCCCAACCTCTCCACACCCGATGATGATAGCAAATTGGGAAGCCACGAATTATCACATGCCATGAGCATCAAGACCAACGACCAGCTGATGGCCATCTATCTAAGCAGTCTGATACGTGCCATTACGGCATTCCACGATTTAATAGAGAACAAGATCCAAAACCGACAGCAGCAAGACGAGAAGGAGACTAAGAAGGAGGAGTCTAATACCAAGGATGAGAAGAAGGATGGCACCGCCACTGCCGCGAACGGAGAGGCCAAGGAAGGTGGTGAGAAAGAAAAGCCCAAGAAGAAATAATTAAAGAGACAGCGCACATGGGGCCGCCTCAGAATCAGAAAGAAGGCGTCTGAGTGCTTAGAGTAATAAAGTCAAATAGCGGTTTCTATATGTGGTGGATAGCGAACCGCTAGGGGAAAAAAATCAACTGAAATAGATATTTTGCATTTCCATCGTGTCTTAGCCGTGACAGCTATCTGATGGGGGTGCTAGAGACCTCCGATTATGGCAGCCAACTCTTCTTTTGTTATATATCTATCCTCGACATGGCCTCTCGGAGCTCCTCTCCATTTCTCGGCCAGCAAGCACGCGAGAAGGTGCTTACAGCAAGGAAAATCCTCCTGCAAACCCAGCCAGGCGTCCATCCCCAGGCTGCCAAAGCCTCCAGATGATATACCAGACTCTTGGAGCTGCTCAGTAATGCTCGTTACATCATAGTTAGAATATGCATCCAGGGCGAAACTACCGCAATTGCAGCTCCACGCATCAATATGCACTGCGTATGATTTCGACGCCTGCGGAATGTGTCGCCGTCTGCCCCGGGATGTGGCCGAAGCAGCAGATTGGACACTGTACATGCATATCTGATCTTTGCTGAAGCTTGTTGCTTCTTGGCCGACGAGGTCTCGATCTGTAAGCTGACCTTGCACAGGCTCGGTTTCACTATCTTGAGGGACGTGACTTGGGTGAGAAGCCGCAGCTTGCGCCGGGTTGGCTACTATGAGACGGCTGACTAGTCCGCGATCCAGCAGGTCCAGGGCTGGCAAAAGAAGACTTGGGAAAACGACATGGAGAGTGAGTAACTGTTGACGCCAATTTGAATCGTCGCTTGGAGGCGATGATGGAATTAGGGCTGTGTACAGCTGATGATGAGATGGGAGATGGTTTCTGCTCATCGTTTTTGTGGAGTCTTTGGGTATAACGGCTCCTTGCCGAGAGCTACTATGCGCGGCATCGATGAAGGGGTATTGATGGCATGCGATTATAGGTGCTCGGGTTTGACAATGCGAGAATGGAAATATAGTCTATAAGGCGAATGGCGACGATTAGATGTAATATGAGATTTGGTATGGTATACTGAGCTTAGGCAGATCCAGTTAAAGTGCACATTATCCCATTTTGGGAACTGGTGGATCTGAATTTGCGAACAACATTGTTGTTATTTACTACCAACCTAACCGCATCCATAAGGTATAGATGGATAAATCTCATCATGACGGTTACAAGGTAGATAACAAGTGCCAATATTTTTTTTATCTATTTCCTCTATACTATACAAAGTATATACTGGTAACTATAACCCTACGCAATTACAGAAAAGAGTCGTACTATTTATTTCAAACCCACTCCTTGGGCTCCTTCAAAACGTCCACTAGCCGCTGCTCCCGGCTCTTGGGCTCTGGCTCATACATGTATTTCCAGCTTGCCGTCAACGGCAGGCTCATGAGAATGCTCTCCACCCGTGATCCAGGCGTGTTCAAGCCAAAGGCAGTTCCTCGGTCGTGGACCAGGTTGAACTCGACATACTTGCCCCTGCGAATCTGCTGCCACGCCTTCTCCTTTTCATCAAAGGGCATGTCCTTTCGCTTCTCTAGAATGGGGACGTACGACGGCAGGAAAGACTTTAAGCAGTCCTGGATGAAGGCAAAAGTGTTTTCCTGGTCACGCTCACTCTCATCCAGATCATCAAAGAAGATACCGCCTATGCCTCGGCACTCGCCGCGATGCTTGTTGTAAAAGTACTTGTCGCACCATTTCTTGAATCGAGGATAGTAAGTCTTGTCGTGGTTGTCGCAGGCGGCCTTGATCGTCTTGTGGAAGTGGATGGCGTCCTCGTCAAAGAGGTAGGAGGGCGTCAAGTCGCTGCCGCCGCCAAACCACCAGGCCTGAGATGAACCATCGGGATTGGCCGTCTCAAAGTATCGGTAATTCAGGTGCACGGTGGGGGCCATGGGGTTGGACGGGTGAAGCACCATGCTCAGGCCAGCGGCGAAGAACTCCAAAGACTCGACGTTGGGATCGAGGTTCTTGTGGTTTTCTCGCATCTTTGCAATGGCCGGCTTGGGCAGCGCTCCGTAAACGACGCTGACACCGACACCGGCCTTTTCGAAGACGTTGCCCTCCTGCAGCACGCAAGTTATGCCGCCGCCGCCATTTGGCCGTGTCCACTCGTCTCTGCGAAACTTCTTTCCGTCGATGCGCTCGAGTTCTTTGACGATGATTTGTTGCTGCTCCTTGATGAACTTCTCCATCCGCAGGCGCATCGGAGATTCGTCGGTGATGCTGGCCTCTCTCTTCTTCTGCTCATCTTTCTCAGCAAGTGACGATGCATCTAGCTTGGCGGACTCTGCCGTTGACTAGAAGCAAAAAAGACGTGTCAGTCAAAAGAAGCTTTAGCTGTCCCATTAGGTAAAACTCACTAAGCTGTAAGCCAAGGGAGCAGTGATGCTAATAGCGGCTGCTGCAAGCCAAATGGCTGCGGAGGATGAGGAAGAAGCTCCAAAGCTGGCGGGAGACCGCCGAGCGCCTGAGGAGGAGGAAGCCCATCGATTGAGAGTCAATTGGCTTCTCAAAGGCCGTGCTGAGCGCAGGCGGGCTTGCGAGACCACGCGCTGAACATGGCGAGAAGCCGCCGCGGGCGAAGCCATGGCGGGGTGAAGATGGCAATGGAGAGATGAGACGAGAGCGGCTGAGGAAGACGGAATGGACAGAGACGAGGTGGGCGCAGCCCGGTTTTAATAGCAGAACGCGGGCGCGACGAGAGGATAAGCCGGAGAAGAGATTTTTTGGAGATTTTCTTCTTCTCGTCGTCTCGTCTTTTCTTGTCCAATTCAATTGGACAATTGGCCCCTCCACTGATCGAGCCACCGACTTCCCGGTGGCGTGTTCAGTAGTTGATATCTTCCCACATAGTAGACCATGCCTGGCTAAGGCTGATGCTTGTCGGCACAAGCTCGGCTCGGGATTCAACGTGGCGGTCGCAGCATCGCAGAGGGGACCCTGATAGCGTTCTGGTTAGCGTAGCGGTAACGGACCTGTATCGTGAGAGGTCCGTAGGCTGTAGCTATGCCGTGAGAATGCGCAAAGTGGCTTGTGCGTTATGAAGTCATTGTTGCTTTGGTCCTCGTCCATTCCTAGGCACAAAACGAAACGTCGATGTCTATCTTATCAGCCTTACGATAAGATGGAACTTGACATGACAGGTACTGAATACTAGAAGCATACAGATGCCAGTCACAACGTCCATCTCTATGGGATTACTGGCTGCTTACAAGCACTCTGTTCAGAGGAGCAGAGATGATAGGTATTCTGGCGTTATGTAAGAATGCCGCACTTAATAAGCTGTGAAGGATAAAGATCACCCCTTGTGTATTACTGCTTCATTCAATAGAGCGTGCAGCCGGATTACGGATGCTCCCATTTCCCCTGCAGATGAAAGCGAATACGGCACGGCCGGTCAGCCTTACAAGTCACTGCCTGAGGTACGGGGCAGTAGCTCAGCTGCGAGAGCGCTATCTACTCCCTTGGGGCGGTTCCCGGTACCAGTGACAGCGGCAGCTTGCACGGCAGCATTCCGGGGTACAAGGGACTTTCTAAGCAGCGACCGACTGACTGCCTCCCTGGTGATGTTTGATTGCTGAGCACAGCACCCAGGATCCGGACAAGCTGATCATGTGGCCTCTGAGCACCCAGCCGCACGCGGGTACCTGCCCCGGGGGGGTCCGTGTTATGCATGTACAGCGGCTGAACCCCCCCTTTTCTCCTGCTGCTCTGCGCGCAGCCGTACCGCGCCTGTACCGCAGTACGAAGAGCGCAAGTCTCGGGCTGGTGATTCACACACCGCATTCCCGCATCAAGCTGGCGCCACCGCCCCGCGCCACCCAATGCGCGCTGCTGATGGCGAGCGTCACTGCCTAGCCCTCGCTGTAGTGTTCGCCGCTGTTCTGCCTACCGCCCTCTTGCGTGTGTCATCCAGTCATCAGCCGCCCCCCGGAAGTCACTGGGTCACTCCCGCGACGGCACCCCTCTCCTCCACTCCGTCACCTCCAAAGAGGCTCGCCCTACTTCTACCGGCTGCATCATCGCTTGCATCCCTTGTTTCCTTCCTCTTTCTTCCCCTTTTCATCATCTCTCCGCCAAACCCCAACCAGACTTGCACTGCTTTCTTTAAGAACAGCTGCGAGTTCGAGCGATAACACCGTACAAACCACCACCTAAGTGCACTGCCATCTCGTCATCAACAGCTCCCCTAACGCCATCTCGACCCAACTTCATCCTTTCCAACCGCCATCATGCGCAGCAAGTTCAAGGACGAGCACCCCTTCGAGAAGCGCAAGGCTGAGGCCGAGCGCATTCGTCAGAAGTACTCTGACCGTATTCCTGTAAGTTGATCGCTTCACGCTCTGCTCTCTACCTCGCTTCATCGTCGCTTGCCCTTGTCTCCGCTATGAATACACGCATCCGTACATAACTTTGTGGCTGCCTAACATCATCACCATCCATCACCATCGTCAATACACTTCTTCCGCATCTTCCATCTCTCCAGCTCGATGGCTGACATTCTCTGTTTCAACAGGTTATCTGCGAAAAGGTCGAAAAGAGCGACATCGCTACGATCGACAAGAAGAAGTACCTGGTCCCCGCCGACCTGACAGTAGGCCAATTTGTCTACGTCATCCGCAAGAGGATCAAGCTTTCTCCCGAGAAGGCCATCTTCATCTTCGTAGATGAGGTTTTACCCCCTACCGCTGCTCTCATGAGCAGCATCTATGAAGAGCACAAGGACGAGGACGGGTACGTACAATATTCTTGGTCCAATCCGCATCACTTTGTGTGATCCCTCATCGAGAAAGAGGCTAACCTTTTGACTGTTTCTAGCTTCCTATACATCACCTACTCTGGCGAGAACACCTTTGGTACCGCATAAACACCGAGGCGATACAGGGAACTTTCCAAGCCGAATATGGCTGATGCAGGCGTTCTGGTAGTTGGGCTTTTACTCTTTTTCCGTTAGGGGATATCGGGAGCTTTGTTATATTGCGGATACTTTTTTACTAAACAGACGAGCCGAGATAAAATAGATGCCCAAGGCATCTCATCTCTATGCTACCTTTGTCACGAGCCTTGACCTTAGAGGGGAATTATTTGGTGGCATGGCGAAGGAGGCTTCATTCAATGACATGTGGCTACATGCGGCTGTTCACTTTTTAATGTTTCAGCCCCTCCAGCGTGTGACTGCTGCTCCTACTTTTGCCCTTGCGCCTATCTATTTACTTGTTTTCTGCCTCATAGTCGGTAGCGAAACAGAGATTAATAATAGTGTTGTCCCTCCAAGACGTCAATTCTTCACTCTACCTTGCTCTCATGATACGTCGTAGAAGGGAGAGTAAAAGTAAAATGAGATACTATTGTTTTATTTATATGCGTAAACGAGCATTATATATCGTTTGTAGTGGTATATACGTCCAACCAAATCACGTCAATCTCGTGGTAGATGGCTTGCTTCCCTTCCCTCCATTAATATTAATCATCATAAATATCCAAAAACCAACATGAGAAAAAGAAAAACCGAGAGACAAAACATCAAACTTTCTCAATGTGAGTTTCGAGAATTCCATCGTATTGGTTCATAACCTTCTCGTCGATGGATTCGTGGAATACGTCCACCTTTGTGGAAGCAAAGTTTCGCGCGCTGACGCCCTTCTCGAAGAGCACGTCAATTTCAGCAAAAGTTCGGCCGCGAGGCTCGGGGAGTCGGAAGTAGGTGTAGATGATGCAGCAGAAGCAGATTCCGCCCCAAAAGAATCCGGTGTAGTTGCTCCAGTTCCAAGCGGTGGGATTCAGCATGTAGGGAGTCAGAACGTTTGTGATTATGCCGACAATGTTGCTGCACGAGAGGTTAGTGATCTAGGCTCAAGTATATTAGATGAATATAAATCTGGACTTACTAGAGATTTCGGGCAAGGACAACCGTCTTAATCTGCAGACGACGGGATGAAAGTTCACCGACGAGAGAGTAGCAGACAGTGCCGACGGTGAGCTGGTAGAAGAGGGCCCAGACAACCATGATGCTGCCGGTGGCGAGGGAGCCTTGTCTCCTGTGCGACTCGGGGACTAGGCCCAGGAAACCGAGGATGAAGAGCATGCTGCACAGGCCGCAGAGACCATACAGATACAGGGTGCGGCGTCCGACGCCCAGAGCCATCAGGCCCCATGCGCCAAAGACTCCCACCATGTTGATGGCGTACTGGCCCAGGGCAAACGAGTAAGAGTCGTGGTTGGAAAGGCCAGCCTGCTGAAGGAAGTAGGTGGAGTAGTTGGAGAAGGCATTTCCACTGAGGTTCTGGATGGCCCAGACCATGCAGACAATCTCGGTGCGGCGCAGGTCGACTCCCTTGAAGCAGTCCCAGTAAGAGGCGCCGGCTGTGACCTTTTCCTCCAAGGCGGTCGTGTGGATCATCATTGCCACGGTCTCGTCGGCGTCAAAGTCGGTCTCGCGCTCTAGGCTGGTCAGGCGGAGCAGTGCATGCTTGGCCTCCTGGGCCTTGCCACGGCGGACAAGCCACCAGGGGGATTCGGGAGCAAAGTAGATGCCGATGAAGAGAGGCAGCGGCCACATCCACTGAAGCCCATAGGGGATGCGGTACGCCCACTGATCGTCGCGCTTCAGCATGGCAAAGATGACTCCGATGCCAATCTCCTGACCGAGACCCCAGCAGAAATTGACGTAGGTGGTGAGGTAGCCTCGTAGGGCGACAGGACAGACTTCGGAGGCATAGGTGACGGTGAGGGTCTGGAAGATGCCCCACGGGATTCCGCACAGGATCTCGGCGACCAGCAGGGCCTGTACGTTGGGCGCGGTGAAGAAGATGGCTGTGAAGGCGGCGATGAGGACGAGGCAGGCCATGACGGTTTTGCGGTAGCCGAATCTCTCGGAGACGAAGCCGTTGATGAAGAGACCAATGATTTCGCCGACAGCAGCGCCCTGGTTTCGATGACTGTTAGCCCGGCCGTGGTCGAGATATTTGAAATTGACAAATATATATATATACATATATGTCGTGGAGAGATGTAGAAAACTCACGTTACTCAAGCCTGACTGCCATCTGGCCGGTACCTGATATTTACCGTCTGGAAACAATTCACCATATTTCCTATTGAACTGAGGGAACGCATCTGACAACTGGTTAGTCTAATTACACGCAAGATTCAAAACTCCCTAAAGGGGACGTACAGAAATTGTTTACCAAGCTGACATCGTAGCCCTCCATGACAATGCAGGTAGAGATGAGCATGCTCCACGCAATGGCCTTGGGATACAGCTTGATGCCTTGCAGCAACGTCATCTTCTGCTCCTTGGCAGCAGCCGATCTGGCGTGCTCGATGACGGTACGATCTCTTTTGGAGAACTCTTCATCGCCATCGACATTGATGACGCCGCCGGTGGTGGCATCTTTGGACGCCTGGATGTCGCCACCATCACCATCGAGGTGAGGGGAGATTTCCTTTTCAGAAGCCATGGTGTTGTGTAGTGATACAAGCCGACGAGGATGTTACAAGAACATGAGACGGCCTGATGTATCAACACTCTTCACAGCAGCAAAGTGTGTGAAAGGGAATGAAGAAATAGTGACAGAGACAGGAAAAACAAGGATCGAGGAAAGAGGGTGGGCGGGATCAGACACCACCATATATAGGTAAATGAAGAAAGCGGAGTGGGCACGATGTTTGGAGATGAGGAGAGATGCTTGCTGGAAGCGATGCCGGGGGTGTGATTGTAACTAAGCCGAGCCCTAGCACCTGTACGGTGTTGGAGGTCGTTTCCTTCTGCTCGGTTGATCCAATGACGCCCGCCTGTTGTTCTGGAGCCGTCGATGGAGGAGGAGGTGGTGGGTTCCTTTTTTTCGTCCCTAGACACAATATCAACTAGATATGCAGCTAGGGTCAAAACCCGAAGAAAGGTGGTCGCGAATTAGGATTCCCGCCGTCTGACGCCTTGGCTAATGCCGGCTATGTCTAATGCAAGGCCTTCTGCAGAAAAGGAACGGCCAGATTCAAAAAGAAAAAGGAGGAGGGGAAAAAAAGATTTCTTTAGCTCTCATTAGGTTCCTACTCCAAAAAACCACTTCTCTTTTTTTTCTGCTCTCCTGCCCCCAGCGAAGAAGAGGGGACATGACATGTTCAGTTTAGCAGACGAACTAGTGATGAAATGCAAAGCCGGGAGTGGCTCGTGGCGGCGGAGAAGCCCGCTCAAGCTGCTAAAATGCCCAGGTCCAGCCGTGGTCCAGCAAGTAGAAAGGCTGCAAACAGAGCCGTAATAATGGGGCAATTGAGTTGGAGACTTTTTCATGGGAATATGCCCCTGGTTTCTTCGGCCAGAAAATTTTCACTCCCTTGTCGCAGAGGGCCTGCCACCGCCACTTTGGAGAGGCTGGAATTGCGAGTTTTATGTAGCAGCTCTTATCAGCGCTTATGGAGCAGATTGCATGACGGCAGAGAGAGAGGGGGAGAGATGTCTTGACCTTGGGTTGTAGCGTAGATGATCAAGCCGGTGAGATATCTTGGTATATCTCTCTACCTAGTTAGATACAGCATTGATGCTCTGTTAGTTAGTATTCAGTAGCTCATCGTAGAAGGCATCTGTAGGCAGCTTCCCCTCTTGAGGCGTTTGTCTTTGGTGATTAGAATAACAATTATCCCATCAATCACAGCAACATGTTTGTAGCAAGCAATAGTCAATAATAGTATATCATCTCTATAAGCCGCCACAGGGGGAAGACACGCGGGAGCTGAGGCGTTCACTCGCTTCTCTCAGCCATCTACAGCCTTCCAGCCAATGACAGGCACCGCGATTCTACACACGAGGCAGCTTGTCGTCATTTGGGGAGACGCAAACCCCACGGGGAAGGATCGCGATGCGGGGGGAAACGAGACGCTAGATCGCAGCCCTTCAGCCCCATATGCTTATTCGAATCTGGCATGCTGGGGAATTGACGTGCGCCTTGGTTTCGCTCTGCGGCTCGTTTGGCGATGGCCAGGCCATCCGACATTTTTGGTGTCGTGGGCCACAGAAAAAGGGAGCTGTGTCCACTGGCTTTCCGGCGGCGCTAGCTGAGACGGGTAAATTTCACAGGCCTCTGCCGGCGGGAACTTCCTGTTTTAGGCAATTATAATTTCTGATTTCTGAGTGGACCACGGTGAAGAGGGCGCCATTTATAATTGTCCTAAAATGGTAATATCCGCCTGGTTATGCCTGTTTCCTGAATTACTGTATTTTACCATACTCCATACCATCTATCACGAACCCTCGCATGGGTTGGACAGCATCTGCGATTGCTCAGCTCTCCCCGGATTTTGATGAATAGTTGCTCATTAGCTAGATGAGCTAGACAATCTCGATGCGGGGGAATAAGCATCTGCGGCTATTGACCATTTGCCGATGAAGACCAATAACTCGATAGCGTGGAGTTTATATGCATGACTGCGATGGGTGTCGTGTAGATGAATAGTAAGTACGTCTGGATGGATAGATGTGCTCCATGACGTGCAAGATGCCGTCTGTCGTCTCATAAAAGGGCGTGAGAGGGCGCAGAAGGACAGGTGAGCAGATTCGTTCATTCACATCGTCCTCAACCTGCTTGACTGACTACTAGGACTATTTCTATATGAGTTGTAATATCTTATCCATCGGTTGATATGAGCAACCTGAGTTGTGCCTCTTCTCCTGCAGCTTCGATAAGACTTGAGCAATCTTCAGCGAGCCTTCTCAGGGTCCGTGTGGTGCATATGCACGCCACTCCCTATAGAAGGGCGCCTTGCTTCTAGAAGGCTGAGCTTATCTGTATGTCGGCAACCATCGCATAGCCCAACTGTCATTACATAATTCCCTGCCGTTCTCCAGCTGCCAACAGACCTTATATCGACTCTACTGCAACATTCTGCATCTCTCTGCTCAAGCAACACCGCAGCTCCGGGAATAAGTTTTCCCGGTACCTCTCTCCAGGATCTTTTCTTTCACTTCGGAGAAGAGTCGGAGCTTTGAAGCTCTCCCGATTCTCCCCGCAAGGATTTGCATCCACCTCCAGCACTTTGAGCTCCATGTGATGCTAACGCAGCTACTAAGAAAACTCAGGCGGGGGACGAAAAACTCAATTAAAGTGCAGTCATGTTCAACACATGTAAGACGACAACAAGATGCATCAATAAATATTTACACAGATTGCTTAGGATACAAAAATAACTAAAAGGAAAAAAGACACCGCTCCTGTAACACTGAGAATGTTAATATTACTCTCATGAATCCCAGTTGATTTTTTTTATGCCGCCTTTCCTCCGAAGTCCCCAGACTAGACCCACCTGGTTTTTGCTCAGTGTCAACGCCATCGAACCATCCCGCTCCGGAGCTGTGACTGTGCCTGTTCCTTTTTCGTGTGCCCGACTCAATACTCCTTCAGCCACAGACAAGCTCCCGATCTTTGTCTGGAACCTCAATTGCCCTTCTGCCACTGTCATTTCTGCTCTTCTCGCAGACCTCAGAGGCGCAATTCCCTCGTCTCCCCCTAACCCCGCCGCTCTTCCGGCTCTTTAAACTGCCTCACCTCCACAGAAGCCACGATGCTGTCCGCTCTCCGAGTTGCCAGCAGGCGAACTGCCCTGCGACCTGCGACCCTCAACCTCTCCAGCCGCGCTCTTCTGTCCACCTGGATCAACGTGCCCCAGGGCCCTCCTGTGAGTTTTCATACGAAAATACAAAACTGGCATTTTCCATGTTTGCCTGTTGCTGACAATTGGCTTGTAGGATGTAAGTTGACTCCGTAATCAGCGGATTCCCCGGCTCTTCGACCATTGGGCCATTGGACCATGCGAGGCTCGATATATGAAACGAGAGCTTCAGCTACGTGTACTAGATCGGCTAACAGAGTACTTTTTTCGTGCTGTATAGGCTATTCTTGGTACGTTTACCCTCCATTGAGTCCCATCTCTTGTCGTGTGACTAACTCCTCCATTAGGCATCACTGAGGCTTTCAAGGCCGACAAGTTCGAGAAGAAGATCAACCTTGGTACGATACCTTTCCGCCCTTTCGAGCGCCCCCTAATCTGCGCCAACAACACCTGCTAAACATACAATTGTTTCTTCCGTTTAGGTGTCGGTGCATACCGTGACGATGCCGGAAAGCCCTACGTCCTCCCCTCCGTCCGCGAGGCCGAGGAGAAGCTTGTCAACAACAAGCTGAACAAGGAGTACGCCGGCATCACTGGTGTCCCCGAGTTCCCTCCCCTGGCCGCCAAGCTCGCCTACGGCCCCAACGCTTCCGTCCTCGACCGCGTTGCCATCTCCCAGACCATCTCCGGAACCGGTGCCCTGCGACTGGGCGCTGCCTTCCTCCAGCGCTGGTACTCTGGCGACAAGAAGATCTTCATCCCCAACCCTTCATGGGCCAACCACAAGGCCGTCTTCAGCGATGCCGGCCTCAAGGTCGAGACCTACCGCTACTACAACAAGGACACCATCGGCCTCGACTTTGACGGCCTGGTTGCCGACCTCAAGGCCGCTCCCCTGGGCAGCGTCTTCCTGTTCCACGCCTGCGCCCACAACCCTACCGGCGTCGACCCCACCCCTGAGCAGTGGAAGGAGATCTCCAAGGTTGTCAAGGAGCAGAACCACTTTGCCTTCTTCGACATGGCCTACCAGGGCTTTGCCAGCGGTGACACCGACAAGGACGCCTTTGCTGTCCGCTACTTTGTCGAGCAGGGCCACGACATTGCTCTCTGCCAGTCATTCGCCAAGAACATGGTAAGCATATTTCTGCCAGTGTATATGCGAATATCAGAGCGGTCGAGTTCTGGATGATGTGTAAAACCTCTGCTAATCGCTTCTCCTAAAACAGGGTCTCTACGGAGAGCGTGTCGGAGCCTTCTCCGTCACCACTGCCGACGCTGAGGAGAAGAAGCGTGTCGACTCTCAGCTGAAGATCCTCATCCGCCCTCTGTACTCCAACCCTCCCATCCACGGCGCCCGCATTGCCGCCGAGGTCCTCAGCAACCCCAAGCTGTACGAGCAGTGGCTTGGTGAGGTCAAGGGCATGGCCGACCGAATCATCACCATGCGTGCCCTCCTCAAGGAGAACCTCGAGAAGCTCGGCTCCAAGCACGACTGGTCCCACATCACCAGCCAGATTGGCATGTTCGCCTACACTGGCCTGAACGCCGAGGAGATGAACAAGCTGGCCAAGGAGTACTCCGTCTACGCCACCAAGGACGGCCGTATCTCCGTTGCCGGTATCACCAGCGACAACGTCGGCCGTCTGGCCGAAGCTATCTTCAAGGTCAAGGGTTAAGAAGGGAAATAAAAAAAAATTACAAGTTAGAACGGAAGGGGGGAGGGCTGGACAGGAAATTTAGAAGAAAGATTTTCGATTCAGGTTATTAGGCGATCTAAAAAGGAAAAAAGAACACTTTTTGCATTGCCTAATTGCCAGATGGCTGATCTATAATAGCCAGTGTAACAATAATCATGACGAAATGCCTGATGATTGTATTATGTGTACCCATCCGCGTCTAAGCTTTTGCAAATCTCCATTCAAAATAAATAAAAAAGAGGGGAAAAAAACCATATGCTCGCTATATACAAATTGGACAAAGATAGAAGCGCTTCATTTATCGTTGAAATCATGACAGTCGTAATCGGTCCATGTCTCGTTCCGTATCCTCCACGTGCTGTCCTTCATCTTGGTAGTCTCCTCCATGCTCAACTTCTGACAGCCCCCCTCCTTCTTCCTCCAGGCTCTCGTCCATTTCATCCAGAGAGTCTTCGTCATCGTAAGCTTCCAGGTCAACCTGTAGATCCCGCACTTTTTCAGCAACCCGTGTGTTGGCATCCTTAAGATGCGTGACGTAGTGCTGCAGAGCGGATATGCTCTCCGCGGTATACACCTCCTTTCTGAGCTTGAGCATTGTCTGCTCGGCCTGCTTCTCTGCGCGCTGCGCATCGAGGGATATATCCGAGGCGCGGAGCTCCAAGCTACGAGCAATGACGCCGTGCTTGGCCTCTAATGTACGAACGAGACAAGTGAGGCATTCTGAGAAGAGTTGAAGGAGGTTGGTGAGAGACGTGATTGTGCGTATGCGGGCTGCTTTTAGAGTCTCTTCGGCGGCAGCCAGACCGGCATTGAGATTCACAAAATCTTTCGGTAGAGAGGCGACATAGCGATGTAGATAAGACGGGTTTGTGGCGGGATGGGCAAGACGAGCGAGGCCCAGCGCAGAGGCATGAAGGTTGGATGATATCAAATCCGCCAGATCGGGTAACAGAGCTTCAAAGTCGGACAGCGGCGGACCGGAAAGAAGCAACGCAATTGAGTCGTGAGGCAGCGTATCGACGGTATCGAGGAACGAGGGCAAGATGAGGATCAGCTCGAGGAGCGCCTCGGGCGTGGCTTCGGCGGAAGACTGTGACTGTTTCTGTTGGAGACGCTCGCTGGCTCGGGAGAGTCTGGTGGAGGCTGTTGATGAAGACGAGGGCTTTGGCTCTGGAGGCGTGGCGGTTGCAATGGCGCGTTCTAGGAGGTAGTGCTTTGCCGCTTTCTGGCGATGTTTGTCGAGACTCTAGGATGGAGCTGGGTCAATACTAAACAATATTTTACAGAAAGAGGAGAAGAAAAGGGGGAGGGGGGCAATATCTCTGGAAGCTCACCTTTTGCACTACAGCCCGATCCTTGGCCTCGTCATCATCCTTGGTAGAGCCATCCGGGTTCAGGATGGCAGTGGTGATGACGCGATAGAGCTTTGCGAATTCCGGGTTGCTTTGCAAGATCTTTTGCTCAACGGGGGGGAACATGCTTTCTCCATCAGTTGAAGAGTCCGATTCACAGGGCGATTGAGATTCTATCAAGTATACAAATACAAAAAACAGGTCAATGGAAAAGGAAAAATCAAACTCGCAGCATAATTCGCCAAGGAGATCAATACACCCCACGAAAAGGCTGCCCAGCCTATCAACGTAGTGGGGTAGCAACCAAAGATGCCCAAACAAGAAGCGCCTAGCTTTTCAGACGAGAGCTCGCGAAAGGACCGCGGGGTCTCGTGACCTTGTACGTACCTGCCAGCTTCACCCCGCCCAAGCTTCTCGGAGCGGATCATCTCATTTTGCGCGCTCAATCAGAGAACTTGTACGAAAACTCCAAACAACAGACCATGCCAAAATTCTCAAAAAGCTAGTGGGATCGTGGGGTCGTTTTCTTCTTCTAAAAGCTCAACATCCGCCAATTGGAACTGGCATTGCTTCTCTACACCTCGTCAATGGTCTTTTCATAGGACCCTCGAGATTCTTTGTTTTCAATCTTTTCTAAAAATCTGTATTTATAGCGTGTAACGCCACACAACGAGCATCATGCCCCCAACATTATTACCCTCATCATCGGCCCGGCCTCTCATGGCCCTCGCCTCTCGCCTCTCCTCTACAACAGCAACCACTTGCTCACTTCGACAATCATCATTAACGTCAACAACATCAACAACATCGTCATCAGCGACCCGATCCTTCTCAACCACCTCCCCCCACCTCACCAAAACCGTCAAACCGCACCGCCTCCCCAGCGACCTCATCCCCCCGTACCCCTACGGCCAGCGCCTCGTCTACAAGCAATCCAACGCCGGCCTCTACGGCTCCGCCCGCATCCGCTTCGGCAACACCGTCGCCCCCAAGCACAACAACAAGGCCCGCCGCCTCTGGCGCCCCAACGTCCACGTCAAGACGTTCCTCATCCCCTCCCTCGGCGCTCGCATCAAGACCCGCCTCACCCTGCGCGTCCTCAAGACCATCCGCCGCGAAGGCGGCATCGAGAACTACCTGCTCAAGAGCAAGCCCGCGCGCCTCAAGGAGCTGGGCCCCGGTGGATGGAACCTGCGCTGGCTGCTGATGCAGAGCCGCGCCGTGCAGCAGCGCTTCAACGATGAGAGGGTTACGCTGGGCTTGGAGCCGAGGGAGCTGGAGGACAGGGACGACATCATCCAGTATGCGCTCGATTACGCTACTCCGGGACCGCTGAGTCTGAGGAGTAAGGCTACGTTGGCTGAGATGAGGGCTGCTTTGGACCAGACCTTTGTGCTGGGCGACGAGGACTTGGCAGATCTGGAGGGAATCCAAGAGCTGTCTGACGAAGAGGAAGCGTTGTTGATGCAGCAAATAGACCGTGCGGATGAGGCAGCAAGGACTAGTCAAATCAAGGTGGAAAAGGAAAAGCAAAATCTTGAAGTGTAATGATTCAATCTGATAGAGATTTTTTTTTGTATATCATTGTATGTACTCTTGTAAAATAAACCCAACTATATGACACAAACTAGCACAAAAACAAACTATTGAAATGCCGGATATCCTGAGTGCAGTATTGCAGACGAAAGAAGCTTTTTTATGCCACCACAATCTCTTACATGCTAATGAAATCTCCAACCCCAAACTTTTCTTAAAATCGAAGGTCCCAGCCAATCTTGGGTCCAAGGCGAGGCAGTTCCTCCGCCACGCTCTGCACATCCTTGTCTCCTCTGCCACTCAAGCAGATGACCAGGTCCTCGCCCTTCTTCATCGTCTTGGCCAGCTCAATGGCTCCATAAATGCCGTGAGCTGACTCCAGAGCAGGAATGATACCCTCCATCTGGCTAATCAGTCTGAAGCCCAAAAAGGCTTCGGCGTCAGTCGCAGCAATGAACTTGGCTCGCTCACTGTCCTTCCAAGAGCTCAGCTCAGGTCCGACACCAGGGTAGTCAAGACCAGCAGAAACGGAGTGTGTCTCAATGATCTGGCCGTTCTTATCCTGGAGCACGTATGTTCGGACTCCATGAAGAACACCCTTGGATCCACCGCTGAGGGTTGCACTGTGCCTTTCCGTGTCGACACCATCACCGCCAGCCTCAACACCCAGAAGCTTCACTGAAGGGTCATTGGCGAAGGGGTAGAACATGCCGACGGCGTTGCTACCTCCTCCAACGCAGGCAACAACTGCATCGGGAAGCTTGCCGCGCATCTGCTGCATCTGCTTCTTGGTCTCATCACCAATGACGGACTGGAACGTCCTGACAATAGTGGGATAGGGGTGAGGTCCGATGGCAGATCCGATGATGTAGTGGGTGGTTTCGAGGTCAACAACCCAGGCGCGGAGAGCTTCGTTGACGGCATCTCGAAGAGTCTTGCTACCGGCCTCGACAGCCACGACCTTGGCGCCAAGCAGTCTCATTCTGAACACGTTGAGGGCCTGTCGACGAACATCCTCCTGTTACACATAGTCAGCATAGATTCTTTGTAAGTTGGGCAGCAACATCAAAGAATGGCACTTACAGCTCCCATGTAAACTGTACATTCCATGCCAAATTTGGCACAAACAGTAGCAGTGGCAACACCGTGCTGGCCGGCTCCAGTCTCGGCAATGATCTTGGTCTTTCCAAGGCGCTTAGCTAGAAGCAGCTGTCCCAGGGCGTTGTTGATCTTGTGGCTACCGGTGTGGTTCAGGTCCTCTCGCTTGAGCCAGATATTAGCGCCACCGCAGTGCTCGGTAAGACGGTCCGCCAAGTGAAGACGAGATGGTCGTCCCATGTAGTCGTAGTATGATCGGTACTCCTCCCAGAACGCAGGGTCGTCCTTAATCTGGTTGAAACCCTCCTCAAGCTCGGACAGGCAGTCCATCAAGCTCTCTGGAACGTACTGACCACCAAACTCTCCGAACCGTTCAGGAATTTTGCCGTGAAGAGCTGCCAGCTGGGCTACCAAATCGCTGTCCTGCTCCGCTGTGAGTCGGCTACTATCCGTGACAACTGCGTTGACAGATACTGAATCTGCGGGGGCACCCTGGTTGTCGGGTGCATCTTGAACCAACGGAATTTCGTCAGTAAGCACTGGTCGAGAATCACGGCCGCAGAGATAGGCGCAGTAGTTTTCAACGTCGGCGTCGATTTGGCCAGAGGCGGCTTTCTGGATTGTAGTGATGAGTTGGCTGCCTACAACGACACCGTCGGCGATTTCGGCGACGCTCTGGAAGTGCTCGTGGGTGCTGACACCAAAACCGACAGCAGCGGGCTTGTTGCCACTGTACTTCTTGACGCGGCCGAGGAGGTCGGGGAGGTTTGTGCTGAGGCTTCCAGTGGCACCGGTAACACCTTGCCTGGAGACAACGTAGATGAATGAGTCTGCGAGCTGGCACAGAATCTTCATACGAGTATCTGAGGTTGCAGGGGCGATCAAGGGGACGTATGAAAGGCTAATGCGTTAAACACTGATTAGTATATTTCCCCGCTGATAGATTGTATCACAGTCGGCACTTACCCGCCCTTGGAGCAGAGCTTACGGAATGAGATCGCCTCTTCCGGGGGCAAGTCGACGACAATGAAGCCATTGACGCCGGAGCTCTGGCAATCTTGCAGCAGACGCTCCTCGCCGTAGCTAAGAAGGGGGTTATAGTATCCCATGAGCATAACTGGGGCCTTCAAGCCGCGGGACCTGGCCTCCTTGACCATGGCCAAGGTAGACTCGATGCTAACGCCATTATTCAGAGCAATCTGTGTACCACGTCAAAGTCAGCAATACAAGTCGATTGATTTCCTGCTCGGTATAGATGTTCGTACCGTGTTCGCGGTTTGGATAGTCGGTCCGTCGGCAATGGGATCGGTAAAAGGAGCTCCGAGTTCAAGGACATCTTTTCGCCCCAAAAGTTAGTATGACTCCCAATTTCCTCCATGTCTCTTATACAGTGCAAACTAACCAGCTCCTCCCTTCTCCATAGCCAGCAAGATGCCAGGAGTATCCTCCGGTCGTGGGTATCCCGCAGTCACATATGTAACCAGCGCCGGCTATAATTTTTTTTCGCAGTCAGTGAAATGCCCTTCTTCTTTCTACCAATTGCTACCCCGCGGATGCCGTCAATGGAGGGGCAACTCACTCGGTTCTGCGCCTTGCAGCGGGCAAAAGTCTGCTTGATAGCCTCCATGATTGTCCGTCTCTCTCTGTGTTATCTCACTTCAAAAGGAAAGGTGCAATTCACCAAGATGAAGGGAATTATGCGTCGATGTCGAGATCAGTGGCGAACACAAAGTCGAGCGTCGCTCTGGCGTTTTTTAAAGATTTGGACGTTCTGACACCCGATTCCGGATCAATGCGGTCCGCCCCTCCAGATGGCTCCTGCCACTGCTAGCACCTGCATGAGCCCCGCCTCCCGCAGCTGCAGCCCAGCCCCACAGGCCCGGACTTGCCCAATCCGGCAATGCTCAGCAGGCGTCATGCGAGATGGCCATGCCTGCCATGATCCGATCCACGACGGCGGCCAGCCTTTCACTCAGCCCGCTCGGCTTCTCCGCAATATCTGGATGTGCTAGTAGGTAATGCAATGCAATGCAAGGTATGGGAAGCTACATGCTTGCACATTACATGCGGCTGACATACAGGTACGATACGGCATGCTTCATACCACGTTGGCTCATACTCAATCTGCCGGCGTCGCCACCTCCAAACACTCAACTAGGAACAGAGTTCACCCCATCACTGCTGACAACTACATGCGTCTTACATCCAATTCAAGTATGAGTCAATAGTGGAGGAGTCGGAAACGGAGTTTATGGTCTTTTCACCCCAGCTTTCCTTTTCTTATTTTCAATATCAAATACATACGGAAGTGCTTGATTAAGCTTGTTGCAGCTGTCCTATTTCTAGATAGATGTGAATTATATGGTAGTAATCACCTGTGCGGAGTAAACCAATTTGCCAAAAAAATCAAAAGTCAAGCCACCAACCAAGATGAATGAATACCCTAACGCCGCCAACCTCTATTGCCTCCCCTTAAAATTTATGCCCTTTTGCTAGTATTGTTCTGCTTTTCAGTTGGTCCAGCCAGCTCGAGCAAGTCCTGTTATTACAACGTCTCGCCCACTCTCACACTATCCTCCTTATCATATTTCTTGATCTCCATCGCTCTGTGTTACTCGAGCAAACTGCATTAGAACCCAGTCTTTTCATCCGGATAGTCGTATGGATTGTTAGTCATCTTTGGTCTTGTTGGGCTCGCCGCACCGTAGACGAATTTCTCATGAAATGAGTCCCGTGCTGATCCGCTACTTCCAACGGAACTGCTGGAAGAGGAGGCCGACGGCTCCCATGGCGGTGGCGGGTCCTGCGCCCAGGAACGCTCTGCAGGCGCGTCAGAGCGCATTTGGCCGCCGCCGTCGTCCATGCTTGGGTAGCGGATGCCTCCCTCCGCTCGGCCTCGTTCGCTTGTGGCCATCCCTATAAGGGTCTGGATCACACCGATCAAGACGATGATGACATAAGTGAGAAAGATGCCGGTAGACATGAGGGCCTCCTGTACCAGGTTGCTATGGAGCCACTTGGTAACATGACCGACAGCCTCGCTTATTTCATTGGTTGTGACATCAGACGGAGAGGCAAGGAAACTATCAATGCCCGAATCACCAGCCACAGAACTGTTTGCTCCTCCGCTAAACGTATCGTTGGGAAATAGAGGAAACTCAACGTGGGCGTGGTCGTGGACAAAGGTAAGGCCCTTTTGAACGCTCTCAATCTTGAGTCCAATAACACAGTGTAAGACCGACTTGATGGGTCCCAAAAGAATGGTGTCATTGAAAACGAATTCCAAGCCCTCCTCCATCTTGTCCATGAAAACGTTGATGGTGTTGTTGACCGCCTCTGTTGCGTTGCTGACGTAGTCGAGAAGGTCATGGTTAATGTCGTCGTTGAGACCCCCAATGACTCCATTGGCGCCATCGGCCCACGACTGAGAGACATTCTGCAGAGTTTCCACAACATTTTCAGCAAATTGTCCAACTTCTTGAGCCAGCTTAGGAGTCTCCTTTTGAACTGCTCTTAAAAGAATGTATTGACAGATGCATGCAAGGAACCCAGAGAGCGCGAGTGATAGGACGAATAAGGCAGCTGGCGAGGTAGCATACGCAATGCACCAACGGGCAAGGATGCGTTGCTTCCCAGTCAGCTTGCTCGTAAACCGGAGACCGTAGGTGGCGGTAAACGGCCGAGAAACAATGTAGACGACATCCATGGGATCTTGGTCGTTTTGGGTGACAAGCTTTGCGTGGTTCCTTTGCCGCCGCCATCGGCGAATCTCCAGCCATGCCATGGGAGCCATGACGCCTGCAGCCGCTAAAGAAATGACAACGATAAAGGCAACTCTAGCTTTTGCCACCAGCTTAAACAAGTGGTCGAAGATATCGTTGAGCGAATTGTTATCGGAGCAGAATGTCATCTGCTGTTTCTCGGCAAGAGGAAAGGCGCTCTTGTTGAACGTGTAGTTGCCATAACTGTCGTCCAAAATATGGCGTAGGGCTTCAAAGGGAAGTGAGATGGCAGATTCGGTAAAGTTTTGAACGTCTTCAAACGTGGGGAGATCTTTGTCCAAGAGTTGAAGGCCACTGACAAAGCTGGTCGTGTTCAGCTGGAAATCCAGCAGCTTATTGAAGGGCTTGGAAAAGTTGACTTTGGGAATATCTGGGATCAAGTCGCCAAATATACTGCCTTCAATGCCAGACGTCAGATTGGAGATGCCGTTTTGCAAAGAAGTGGCGATTGTGTTCATCTCGCCCACCGTCCCGTTGATGAGCTTGTTGTAGGTCTTTGTGGCATCCGCGGTGATGTTGGCGATTATCTCGATACTACCGTGTATGAGAGCAGTGATTAGACAGGTGTATGTGGCCGTCAAGAAGTTGATGTAGAAGATGATGATGTTTTCAACGCCGCTGATGACAAGGTCGAGCATCTCAACCATGCCATGGACAGCCTTTTCAACCCCCATGCCGACGAGTTCATTCACTCCCTGGGAGAGATAATGAGGCATTGACGCCATGGCACTGCCCACATCTTCAACTTTGGTGCAGGCAGAAAGAGCCTGCGTTTCGGCAACGGCAATGTTATCCCGTAGCTGAGCTATCAGGATAATGAGACGAGCGAGGAGAATAATTAAGAGGACCGTCCATCGGTTGATCCATATCTGGGAAAGACGAGCTGGAAGGCTGAGATATGGCGTAATGTAGGGGGCGGTATCTGCACGCGACTCGATAGATGGTTGAGGTGCTGATGGGATGGACGAATCGGTTCGAAGTGTGTTTGGGACATCTGGAAACTGCGACAAGTTGTCGCCTGTGCGAGAAGAAACCATTCTTACGCAATGAGTGTATAAAGAAAGCAGAATGAGCGGTGAAAATAGATATCAATGAGCTAAGTCGCTCGAAAGTGGTAATAGTTGCCGAAATGATAGTTTTCACGGCCGGCCGCTGAAGATATAAGAAGATGTATCGAATAGAAGGGCAAAATGAGGGTGAGAAGATGAGAAAAGTCGCAAGGACAGAGAGAAGAAAAGGAAAAGCCACAAAAGAAACGAGAAAGGAAATTGAAATGCAAAAATGCCTATTTGCCCATTATAAGCGTCTATTGTCTGAACAGAAGCAGGAGAAATGAGTGAATCAGAAATGAGCAACAAAGGGTCGAGAACAATAGCGCGCAAGCACCATAATAACAAGAATAGAATCACTGCCACGAGGGGCCCCGGCCTGTGAACACAAACTGAACGCCATGGCGCAAACGGAGGTCGATCCAGCCGAGCGCATATCGCACAGGGTCTTTCAAACACTTTTTTTTTGGCCTCTCGATAATAGACAAGATTCAAAATAGTATCCCGGAGGCCGTCGATTCGACAAGAGAGACTCAGACAGGCATGGCAGCACCGACGCTGGATGTGGATCTCAGTCTAAGCGCCTGTCAGCCAGCGCCAGCCAGTGAGAGCGAACCAGCAGACCGCAACGGGTAGAACCTCAAACCCGCCATGAGAGCGAAACAATTGACATCTCCATGCCAGAAGCCGCTGTGCTGCCGGCACTCTGCAGCGGTGATTCACTGGCTGGCTCACCGGCCACCAACCGGGGCCTCGATGGCAGCTGGACGCAAACGCCGGCATGTGGGACACCAGAAGCGCTGCTGCCAGCCAGACCAGAGAGCAGGCGAAACACCACCTCGAGCTGCGGCATCAATGACGTACGAGGACAAAGACCAGCAGAGACGGCACGGACCAGCCCGAAGAGAAACGAGATCGATTGGCCATGCGTGAATCTTGACAAACGGGGCCGTGATCCGCTCATGAGAAATGAGCGTGGGACATGGCCGTGGTCAGATTCGCAGCCACATGCTGGGCGGCACGTCACGAGAGACAGAATCGTATTCCCGTATTCACCTGGGTCACGCGGGCATCCTGGCAATGGGGACACAGAAATGGTGAAAACAGGTCCAGCAGCAGAATATTTGAAGCTTCTTGAATGTAATTATCAGGGTGCAATCAAGTGGAAGAGCTGTTGCAGTGGCTGGGATGCTCTGGTCCAATCAATAGCCGCGCGCAGTCGACCAGCGCTTATGTAATACCGCGCTCGTCGAAAGAATACATGTAGCTTGGAGATGGCAGCACCAGCCTCAAAGAAGTTTCATCTATGGCGTTTCGATGGGTGTTACAAGCGCTCCTTGTAATATCTGAAATGAACACTTGTCAGCGTAATTTGGATGATTTAGACGCGGGTCAAGCTCAGCCGCTCAAAACGCGCCACCAAAGCGCCTATCGGTAACTTTTACCGGGTAGTCTAGAGAGGCGTTTCGGCATGAGCTGGTACGGGACATGTTTCTCAATGGCAGAGTGATATCATACCATGTGAGTAAAAGGCTAAGCTAAATGCCTTGAAGTTTCAACGAATATACAGACATGTATCGTGGGCCCTTGTTTTACGGCCGTTAGCTAGAGCAAAATCTCGGCGTCTGCCATCATGTAAGTGAACAATCACGCACCTTCGTAATACCTACTACTTTTCGTAACCAATATATTTCCTATGCCCAGACAGACAGCTACAAGGAACTTCCCCGCTATACTAACAATATATTATCTGAAGCGCGTCCACAAGGTAGCTTTCCCCCATCTGCTCACGGCCGGAGCAAGTCTGGTCTCTCAAACGTGCCCCATCCTGCGGCCGCCGTCGCCGCCGTGATGGGGCATATGAGCTGCCGCACTTGATGCCCTTGGAATCCAGGTTCTGCCGCTGCTTTATAGGTAGAAATCTCCCTGGCCCTATTTTCAATTTCCCTCGCGTAGTCCATCTCTCCGGTCAGAATAGCGAGGTCCTTGTCCAGCGCAGCTGTCAATCGCCCACAAGCAATGGCGGGCTGGATCTTGCCCTTGATATAAAGCATGTCTGCCATTGTGATCAAGTACAAAGCCGAGTTCTGCCCCATGCCTCGGATAATTGAGATGATTTCGCAATGATTGATAATATTGTCATAATCATATCTCTGGGGCCATACGGCCTGCCCTTTAAATACCAGCCACGACCACGACGGGGCACCGCAATCGCATACTTTGAGCATCTCGGAAGCGCCACGCCATAAAAGTCCATGCTGTATATTCGGCAACCAGAGTCCTGATACGTACGACTCGTGCCAAGTGCTCTCAAGCAATGTCACTGCCGACTCTGAAAACGATGATCTGCTCATGGCTTTGGAGAACTCGGTTACAATCCCAGCAATTGCATTCAGATGGTTGCCCGCATTAGTTAGACTCAAACGCGAGTAAGATTGAGCCAGCTCATACCAAAGATCCATGTCCAATTCAGAGCGTGCGGACAGCTGGCTTTTGGGTCCAAATCTATGAGCTTGCCATTTGTGGGGATTACAAATATCTGGCATGTTTGGAGTCGTGCCCGGAGCTTCAACATTTTGATTTCCAATGGTACGAGGAGCTTGAGTGCGGCATTCGAGGAAAGTATTGCTGGGAGTCAGATGAATGATTCTTGCACTTAGGAACCATTCCTGGAACACCCATGCACGTGATAAAAGCTCGCTCTGATTGACTTCATCCAAATACTGAGTCTTGGTCCTCTCTTTTTATTTGAAAATGTAAAAAGAGCCTTTCTGTCTCAGGAGTCCAACGATGACTTAGAATCATGTAGCTGCCACGCGTACCAGAGCACTCCGCAAGGTGAGCAGGACCGTTTATGCCAACGTCAATACAGCGGCTTGGGAGCTGCTCATTGTAAAGATCCAGACTCTCTACTCCAGAAACTGTCACGCAGCATCTTCAATTGTGATTTGTGATGCAATTATCCATCCAGCTCTTAACTGCGGCGGCGAATTCTGACGAGCAGCGACTTTGGCCGTTTTCGATAGTTTCCATCTACGGTGATTCGGACCCAAGGGTTGTCTACATCACCGCAAACTTTACTTTCATGAGCCGGGGCTTTGAAGTCATCGAGACGGTGACAGACCCCTTCTAAAAGAAGCGAGCATAATTCGCAGCCGAGCTTTATCGACCTTATTCGTTTTATCACGGTTCCTGAAGATAAGTTCAAGCCATTGACTGACATGGTAACATTTTGCGGAACATCCGATTTGAGCATTTTGTGTGTTGTAATAGCCTTTTTATCAGCCTATGGAGAGTTTTTAGTTGGCATCATCATACTAGTCAATTTGGTCTGTAGGTATTTCCCATATATTCTCCGAGAGGGTGACTGGATAACTATGAGTAGCCGCGACAACTAGTACGTATGATACAACATGGCTACCTATAATCTATCTTTTGAGAAAATATTCCATTATTCATTCTTGTCATGAATACTGTTCTTTGCTTCTGTCAACGGAAAACCTGGATCAGACTCAGGCAAGCCATTGAATAATAAGGTGGCATTTTGCGGCGAAATAGACTCAATTCATAGGAGTGTGTGGCATCTTTATTCTACTCACTTGAGTTCGTTGGGATATACCATATGCCTAATGAGAGAGCGACTGGAAAATTGTGAGCAACGACAATTCATGTTAGTGCGGATATTATTAACGGCATACCTACCTACGTATCCATCTCCTAAGAAAATGGTTCTTTGTTCAAAGTGATCACGAGCAATTGAATACGTCAATGGAAAACAAAAGATTACTCCACAGTAATAACGTGTCCTTGGTATTGAATTTAAATATATGGGAATAAGAGGCTTGCTTGAAAGCCATGCATTAAATCATTTAAAATCAGGAGCATCGACGTTCGAAAACGCTTCACAATCATCCAAACCCAAAGCCGGAATCCCCTAACCGCCCGACTATAGCAGTAAAATCATTAAACACCCTTTTGCCTATGTACATACACATGTTTGTTTATACATCCACGTGCTTGTTGGCACCAACGACGACATCCTCGATTGTCTCGTCACTGAACTTCAGATCCTCTTCAATCGAAACGTGGTCCTTGATCTTCAAGAAGACAACGGGTGCGGCCAGGATCAGGGATCCGGCGAGTACACCCCAGGTGGCGCCAAACATGGTGTTGTAAGGAGTGTTGATAGCGTCGAGACGCCAGAAGATGGCAGCACCAGCGGATTGGAAACCCTTGTAGAAACCTATCCAGATTTTGTCAGTAAATGGATCGACCAAAGTGTTCAATGAGGGTGTATTAGAGAACAAAACTTACCAGCCAAGTTGGCAGCCCTGCGGCCAGAGTTGGACAATGATCCCATCCACCAGTAGATGTTGGTCTGCCAGATGGCATCGTAGAATCCATAGAAGAAGTACAGGAACATGGGTCCAATGAAGAGGTGGCCACCATCGGTCCAGTCAACCTTGTTTGGCTCGTAGTTGGCCTGCGACACCACGTCACGAGTGGGCTGCATCTTCTGCCAAGCATAACCACCGCCCCAGATGACAAAGGTGAGGAAGAAGAGGAAGGCGAAGGACAGCTTGGCGCGCATGGCACGGCCAATACCAGTGTAATCCAGAGCGTAGCCGTTGATGACAGCGCCGATGATCTGGGCGAGCCAGTACAGCAGGTTGTTGAGGGATCGAGTACGGATGTTGAAAGCAGCAGCGTTCATGTCGTTGTTCTGGTAGGTGTAGAAGATGTTGGAGGCGAAGAACATGGGGAACAGAAGAAGAACCCAGGGAGAGCCGGAGATAGTCTGCCACAGACCAAGGAACTCAGACTGCCACGAAGGGTTCTTCATCAGGACAACCTTGGTGCCATCCTCACGAATGACCTTGTCGGCATCCAGCAAGAAGAAGGCAACAATCAAACCGAGGAACATGAGAACAATGAAGGCAGCATAGGTGCCATCGCTGACAGTACCGGTGTGGTTCTGAATGTTCTGAGCCAGGGGAATCTATAATCGGGAAAAGTCAGCAATCAGTCATGTGTGAAAATGAGCGTTCAAATTCAAAGTCTGAGGCCCATTATGAGAGAAAAGAAAAAAAAGAAAACGTACCAGAGAGCCGATGACGGCACCCAGATTGAAAATAATCCAGAAGGTAGAAATGTATCGACCCTTCTTGTTCTCGGGAGGATAGGCCATCATGACAGCACCCTGAGCAGTCCAGAGCAGACCGGCGCACACACCAAGGAAAGCACCAGCAAAGATGACGAAGCCAATGTTCTTGTTGTGGTTGTAGCTGAGGAAAGAGGCGCTGTAGATGCAGTAACCAAGACCACCGATTCCAATGGTGAGACGGAGACCGAGACGGTTGGCAAAGGTGCCAGAGAAGAAACCAACGACGGCAAAGGTAGAGTACAGAGCGACGGAAGAGTGGTCCTGGGCCTTGGGGTCGACTTGACCACCACCTCCCAGACCGCTCAGAGAGTTGTACATGCCGGGGCAGAGGAAACACACCAGGGCAACCAGCAACAGCTGGACTCTGGGTGAGGCGTAGTAGACCTCACGGCCAAAGAGCTTGTAGCCCTTGTAGATCCATCCATTGGGTCGGTCAACGAACTCGTTCTGGGCAGAGGCGTATTCGTCGACGGGAGCCACCTGGGGGGTGGCTTCCACGGCGTGCTTCTCCTCATCAGCCATGGCGAAGAAGAGAGGCGCAGGCCTTTTCTGGTTGCTTATAAGCCTGAAGGGACGGTTTCTCTGTCGAGGATATCAACGCTCGGCAGTAAGCAGAGCGTATCTGTCTTGGGTTGGCGGAGCTGCGCACGCAAGTTCCAACGGGAAGTAGCCGAAGCCGTGGAACAAGATTGGGGAGCGGACAGTGAAGAAAAAGAAAAGCTCAAGAGAGGATCCAGAGAGGAATCTGGGGGACCTGATGATATATGAATTGTCGTGGCGCAGATCTGACGGGTCCAGCGCTTTTGGAGGGTAGTATCGGCAGGGCTACCCCATCCCGCAATTGCTTCCAGGGGATGGAACGACCAAAGGGCCACGGTCAAGGTTGCTTGACTTTTAGCACCAGACTAGCTCTCCAGCAACCACTTTCTATTATGGTGCTGTGGATGGACGGATGAGCGGCGAGGGGACCAGGTATCGGTGCGGAGACTGAGCTGGGGGGGGGGCCGACTGGACGATGGACCGCAAAGTCACACCACAATCATCAGCATGCGCAGCGGTACCTCGACGTTGGAGGCGATTGCTGTACGAGAAAGGAGTCGAGAAGGATGCCGCCAAACGGTGCCTAGCCTCGTGCAAGCAGAGTGCATACAACGTGGATCCCGGGGCGTTGGTAGCAGCCAAGAGCAATGCGCCAAAGCCTGCGCCGGACGAGCGAGGGCCTAGTTGGCCAAGCTAAATGTTAATGAGAACGGCAATGCGACCTTGGAGGCTGGGCAGGGGTTGCTGTTGGCCCAGCGCAGGCTGAGAGTAACGGGGTGGATCAGGAAGAAAGGTTGCATCAACAGGCTACGTGACAATCGGGCATGTGGGAAGGGCGCTGACTAGTGCTCGTACCGGCCGTGCTAGTCCTGCTCGTTGCAGAGGAGACGAGATAGCATTCGCAGCGGCAGAGGAGCGGCTGCTTGGGTCGAGAGCCATGATATGATGGCGGCGGCGGTGGCTTTTTAGGGAACAGAGAAGAGAGGTTCCGTGATGTTTTGCAGCTGGCGGTCACAGGTATGTGCGCACCTGCCATGGCAGCCAACAATTGCCAGAGCAACCAACGAGACATCCCTCCTGCCAGATGCAAGGCGTGGAGTGACAATTACTGGACTGGCATGTGTCTTCTGCTCTTGGCTGACACATACCGGTATCTTTCTGTCATTCACTAATTATAGAATACCATTTCCCGACGTCGGAAGTGATAACGAGATATCAAGATAGAGCATTATCTATCAGGCCTTGACAGCAGATGAAATGGCATGATACCATGCACTGATAGGGAGCAAGTAGCATGCTCCAACACGGCAAGATTGGCGTCTGCCCTCGTATCTCAGGCGGCAGATACAGCAAACAAACAAATAAAAAAGTTTACACCGTCACAAGACAAAAAAACCAGCTAGTGACGAATTGAAACAGTACGTAAAGAATTACAGATTAGAGAGAGAAAAACAGACAATGAGACCAGGGTTCGGGCTTTGGATATTCTTTTTTTGATGAGCGAGGAGCCGTCTGGTGGAGCAGCGCCACTCGGCTAGGCCGCCACAGCACGCGACTGATGAAATGCCAGAGTCGAGATCGCAGTGAATATCAACGAATGGATACTGATAGGTACGAAGTACATGAGATAGCTGAAGGCAGCAGTGAGATGAAAGATGCTGGGTGGTAGATAGGATCGGTATCATCTGTAGGTGCTCGTGGCCATGATACCTAGCAAGCGTCTATGTACCAGTGAGAGATTGGACGGCTCTGTTGGTTTCAACCGCCAGCCAGCATGAAGCAGCAGCACGCACATTGGTCCAGAGGCAAAATGTAACTGAACCCATGTCGCATCCAATATTGCTTTTCCTGCACTAGCAGGTGCAGTAGATGCAGAAAGGCAGGGTCTGAACGAGGGAACAACCTCAACTTGTCTGCGCCGTCCACCGTCTTTGCCCCGCGGCGTGGCTTGTCCCCTTGGGATTTGGAGTAACTACCCTTTTGGTATTTAATTTTTTTTTTTTTTTTTTTTTTTTTTGGTTTTATATTTCCATTTGTCTTTTTGCGAATGGGTGTGGTGGCGTTCCAGTTTCGGCTGGAGTAAAGCCCGCTGCTGCTTGAGTCGCTCTGCCCGTCCCCCAGATTCTTCCCCATGTCCATTTAGCAGCTGCTTTTCCTCTGCCTTTTTACTACTCGCTTGTCAATTCTCACCTTTGGCTTCTGCCATGCATCATGTGTACTTGTGAGAAAAAGAAAAGGAATCGACAGCAAAAAGGCCATCCCTGGCCATCTCACAGGCCGGCCACGCTACATCACCCTTCCCTCCTACCCGTATCGGACAAGGCTGGGTCCTCGTATCTCACCTGCCATCGTAAGCTGAGCTGGGGGAAATGAAGACGCTGATGTTTAGCGAAGAAGAGCGCTGTAACTCTTACCTGCTATCCTCTCCCCCCTGCCTCATCACCAAAACGAACCTGTCAGCTCGCGGATGAAGGCCCGAATGGCCCTGCTGCTGGTTGGCCGCCTTTAGGGATTTGGTCCAGATCGAGGCGCGCCGCCACCGCCCCTCGCAAATGCAAAAACGAGCATTAGCCTTCAGCAGAGCAACGCGCTGACTGGCCGCCTGCAACCCCTGGGCGATGTTCGCAATGGCCTAATCAGCAGCCGATGCCGCGACTCTGCGCCGCTCCATGAGGAGGGAAAAAGGTCCGGGGCGGGGCGCGCTTCGGCATGGGGGCCAGCTAGAAAGTAGCGAGCGGTGCTAGCACAAATTGCGGTAGCCACATGATGAGGATAAGAGGCTGCAGGCTGATTCATGGAACAACAAGATGCACGGCCGCTTCATCTTCGGTTATCGGGCTTTGTGTATGGATGATGGCAAGCATTGATTGACTGATTCCGTCCAGCAGGATCCGGTAGTTGTATGGAGCACGAGGCTCGTGTTTGGGCACATACGAGGACAGCGCATGACGTGGTACACCCGGACGCAGCAGGATAGACGCCACAACAGCGCACACAACAGCATACCTACACAACAGCACACACAGCATCCCACAGCCATGTACGAGCACCATGCACGCGATACGATACGATACGAGCCACTGCCAAAACTGCACCAGAGCCAAATCCTTCCCTGGGCGCTTCTCGATCGCACCAACAAACGCCGGCTCTGGGGCCAAGCCATAAAACGGGTCACCCGCCTGCGAGAAGCCGAAGCGCCACAGCTCCTCTGGCTCCAAGAAAAAAGGGAGATCGTTTCCATTTCTTTAAAAGTTCCGCGTTAGGCCTAGGCCACCCATGTAACGTTCCCTCGTCCCGTCCTTTTCGGTACCTATCGATTTCCCTCAAGCCACAAAGGCACAGAGAGAGAGTCATGGGCGGCTGACTAACTATGGCCGTAACTTATCTCGACCTCTTCCCCCATGATCCCGTAATTTTAGCATTTTGAGATCTTGGGAATCGACTCATATTTTTCAGCTCGGCCATCAATCAGGACGCTAGAAGCTGGCCTTGATACTGACGCTAACATTTACGCCAGCAGTATAGTATCAGGAGCCGTAGTCCAGGGCATTCTGCCAAGAGAGGATACATGCCAATCACTTCAATTATTAGCTGATGGCCGTTGGGCATCGCTGCACTGGCTCGTGACATTGATCCAAATGCTAACCCGAGGCCTGGGGCCGTCAAAAGGATGCGCGGAGCCTCCACACTCCAATGCCTATCGCGGGGCCCCAGCTATATTCTCCCCAGATGCACTTGTTGCACATAAGGGCAACAAGAAACACAGCGACTTCTTTTTGCACAACAATGCTCTACTTGTGCTCCAGAAATAGTTCATCAACACTATTCTCTTGCCCGTTCCTCTCGTAAGCACTCTCGCCTCCCATCATGCGTTAACGAGTTCCCTTATCCGACTAGCCGTGAGATGCTCTGCTGCAGTCCCCAGCCAAGTCCCCTACACCGGCGATCCCTTTAATCTTTCTTTCTTGTGCTACCCCCTCACCAAAAAGCGCTGCATCCCCGAGCGAGAGCCAGGGAGCTGCATCCTACGAGGCCATACAAGCTTCAAACTGCACGCGCTATCCGTTATCAATGTCGTGGTGTGGTTCACGGCTTAATATATTGACCAGCACTACTGTATGAAGTCCACACCCTCCTCTCCCCATGCCGTCAACCAGTAGAAGAGCACCAAAGCCCAAAACACAGCGAGATAGGCGAAAACAAAAGTAGTCACTCGCTCTCATAACGGAGTCCTCGGTTCCCGTACTCTAGTACATACATCAAAACGGTACACAGCCCGTCCTATCGCTCCAGAAAAGAAATGTTACATTCGCCTGGCAAAGAAACTAAAACGGAGTCGCGAGGCGTATTATCGGTACGCTCATTACGTACGCGCTAATAGGTACCGCATGCTACCAGCCAATCTCCAAAAAGCCATTTCCACCATTTGTAGCTAGCTGTATCTTCATGCTTTTTGTTTGGTATTATAAAGACCTACATCATCCTATTCAAAGAAACTGCAGACATGTCCGTACACAAAGTTCAAAACTTACCCATTCAATAAGCATTCTTTAGGTAGTACCGAGTTATTCCAGCTCAACTCGCCTTATCAAACCTCGGCAGTTTCCTAAAAACCATCTCCATATCAATAGCATATCCACACTCCCCGTCCGTTCTACTGTACTTATCAAGTCCTCTCGCAAAGCAACAATCCCAGGTTCCACCAACCAATCGAGCATGTTACCTACCCACCTCCCAATAGTCCAAATCTAAAGGAGCTCATCTCACAACGTTGGATTCCATTTCCCCGGCGTCTACTTACTGTACCTACAGCCCATGCTTGAGCCTACCTAGGTAGCTAGCCAAGCCATCTGGCATGCCTCCATCTTCATCTCCATCTACTTGTAGTGCATCTCCGTTCCATCCCTCCATCTTCAACATACATGGCTAGGCATGTGTCAGTATAGATTTTCCGCGTCTGCCACGTGTACGGGGTTACATCTTTCATACGCATCGCCATCTCGGCCCATCTCAGCCATGACTAGGCGCCGATGATTATCGAGCTAGTAGTTTTCAAGTTTAAACGCGAACCATGAGAACATCTCTTACTGTACGCTTCTGCCAACTGCATTTTTCTCCTTTCATTTTAATGGAAATTGAGTCAATTCAAATTTTCCTTCTTCTCCTTCTACCTGGTTTAATTTGCCATCTGATACAGATTTTAACTCCATGTAATACACAAACTCCTCTTTTGCTATGCCCTCCAACCCATCTCATCCGATCATGACGCCGTTCCAGATCCGCTTAAGCATGTTCGCGTTTTGCACTTCTTCCCAGCAACTTGATAAAAAAAAAAGGACAGATCATGTATCATCTCATTCAATCGGATTTGCTCCAAAATTAGGCCCTTTTGTGTTCCAACGCCCATGTACCCGAAAGAAGACTAAAAACCAGAGTTACCAACGCCGTTACCTTCCACCTCCTGACGAACGAACGAATGAATAAGAAAGAAAATGAAAGAAATATCATGTGGTGAGGCATCAAAACGAAGCAACGCATCCCCTGAGCTCTTTTATATTCAACAAACCTCTTTCCTAGAGGTGTTTGAAAAAATAACGTGGGCAGTCTCATTGCAGAAAACTAGAAACGACGCTCTTGTTAGCATCACAAGAGTCTTTCTCCAATGCCAATCTGGAAGGAAAATGCCATCATTCTGATCCGCGGCGCTCTCAGTACCGTCTCGATGTAACGGTATGGTGCCTCGCGTTTCACGCTTCGACATAAAAAGGTAGCCAGAAAACAATGCCGGGGTATCGAAATCAAAAGTAGATAGCAATGTATATGTGGATGCCAGTACGTAGAATTCCAAGAGTTTCATCTGCGGGTGGAAAGGGAGAAATGAAAACAGCACAAATTTAGCTGTCTTTAAGCCTGTGGTGTTGAGTTTTGTCCAACTCGATCACGCGTAATCCAACCGAAAATATCCGGTCGGCCTGCCGCTGACGCCGTTGCCGTTGCCGGCGACTCAGCAGTCTCTCGCTTCGTCATGGATTCGCGAGGTTCAAGTAAGAGACTCTTCCGATAGTATGCTACTTGGACGTTCCCCTGGCTTGTTTCACGGATTTGCTGGAACTGTGCTGATAACCAGTCCTGCATATCAGGCAGCTCCGTTAGCCTGTATGGTATTTGGAAACGTTGGAGTTCGCCAATGATCTTGGCCGTCTTTGTATGCTTGTCGAAGTTGACGACTGTCAAGCCGCCTGCGCCGTCTACTTCAGATTCGCTTCCCAGAGATACACGCTTCGTTGACGGGTTGCCGATATCAACAAAAGTCAAATCGGTAAGATACATGCCAAGGAAAGGCAGGCAGGGAGGGACGTGGTCGTGTACTTTTGTGCGAAGAACTTTGTTGTTTTGCGCTGGCTCAACAATCTCCTGCAGGTTGCGGAGCGCTTCTTTACGCTTCTGTGATATTGCGTCCCAAGTCTTACGCAGACGAGTGATGGTGCTGCTGTTAAGGGAGCAGATGATAGCCATCAGGCCATCGTAGTTGTGGAGCTCCAAGAATGACAGTGCAATTTTGATCCACTGCTTGATGACGGCGGCGCGCTTTTTGAGCTCTGAATGCTGAAGTATTGTTTCAGCAACCATATTCGATAGGTCGGTCGATAGAGCAGACATGGCCTTGACGTTTGGGGCATCTGCTCCGCCCTTCTTCATCCACTGGGAGGCCAGAAGCTCTTCGGGCAAGATGGAACAAAAGATGTTCATCTGCTTGACGGTCAGTTGGCGGGCAAGTTCTAGCGGGTCAAAGTCTAGTATTGTAGGTGAGGCGCCGCCGGCTTTGAAGGACTGCAGTGCGCTCTGTTGGCCCTTGGAGATGATGGAAGAGGGAAGAGGAAGATCCGCCGGCACGTATTGGCCAATGGCCGTGTTGGTCTTGCCCATAGAAGAGACAAGCCGAGGCACCAGCGCTCCTTCATTAGACACACGAGTCGTCAGTTCCAGCAGCCGAGATCCCGCAGACGGTAATGTAGCGTTAAGTCGGGTCTCAGCAAAGGGGATAATGAGCTTCAATGCATCCCGGTCGGTCTGGTCTCGCCAGTGAGACTCAAGCCAGCCCTTGAAAGCATTATATACCCGCAAGCGAATTGGGCCCGAGGTTTGTGGCGATTCTTCCGCGTATTCATATCGGTCTATGAGTGCCTCTGTCAACTGTATGGGGGTGGCAAACAGTCTAAACGTCAGGTAAAACGTTGAGACAAAGGTAGCATCGGGAGTAGCTTCGTGAGTGGTCAAACGCTCAACCAAGGCTGCAAGTGAGCCACCAGTCACCTGGCCTTCTTTGTTGAATACTAGTTCATGTGCGAATGTCTTCATCAGCAACTTGGATTCGACATCGTCAACTTCTTCGGTATGAGTGGAGCTTCCAGCAGCGCTCAGCTCCGATAAAGAGGGCTGGTTACGGGGAACCAGCGTCTGGTCAGGGGTAGTGGCTCGCGTTGAGCTCTGAGATACGATGCTGACTTCCGAGTCTCTACTCAG